ACTTGGGATGACTGTGAGCTGCTGTGTGGTGCCGAGAATGGAACCCAGGTGCTCTCTGCAGAAACATCAAGTGTTGGCTCTTAACCGCTGAGCCAGCTCTCCAGTCTAGAGCCAGGCTCTGAGGCCACCTTGGGCAACACAGCAAGACTTTGTCTCTTAAAAATCCATGACATCAGACAAACCCATCAAACAAACACACCACATAGTAAGTTCATCCTGCCTTTCTGTTGGCTCCCTGACAGCTGGAGCTTGAAGGCAGAAGCTCTGATGGAAGAGCTGAGGAGAGTGCGAACTTCTTTGAAAAGTTTGTGGATGTTGTCAGTTCGAGAAGGTACTGAGGGTGCAAGAAAGATGACTCATGGAGCTTCCCTTTCAGGAAATACCCCAGGCACACTGTCTGTGGCCTCTCCTCCTCCTCCTCCTCCATCTCTCCCTTTCCTCTCCCTCCCCCCCTCTCGGTGGGGTCTGGGACCTCACTATGTTGTCCAGGCTGTTTTCCAACAATACTGCCATTTGCTTCTAGAGTAGCAGGCAGGCGCCACCATACCAGGCTTAGAAGTGGGCATTTTTTAAATTAAAACTCAACTGTCAGTCATAATCCCAGAAGAGGAAATACCGAGTCTGGGCAAAGGTCTGTAGGTGGTCACCCAGGCAGCCATGCTTACTGAGTGCCTGGTCCATGCCAGGAGCTATGATGGAAAAGCAGGGTATTTCTTTAGCTAAGACATCTGCACATATTTTTAATATATTTAATTTTACATATCTTTTATATCTTTTTGCTGAAAGGATACAATGTCATTAAGCTTGACAACTTAAAGAACTAAAAAGAAAATCCTATGGACACTATGTTCTGTTTTTGCTCAGAAAGCAGGATTTTTGAGTTAGGGTTTTACTATGTATCCCAGATGGCCTTGAGTGCACAGCGAGTCTTTGCCTTTAGTGTCTTAGGCAGGCATAATCGTCATGCTTGCCGAGGGAGCACTTCCTGTCACTTTGTCCAGTGACCCTAGTTATTATTTTTTTGTACCTCTATCTATCTGTTTCCTGGCTGTCTTCTCCATTAGAACCTAAACTCCCTGGGTCGGGGGAGTCATGGTAGCATCTCCAAGGCCTAGAAGAGTACTTTGGACCCAGCAAACACTAAACTCATAGCGTATGATTGACAGGCTTCTTCTCCGAAGAAAACTATTTCTTTTCTCCAAGCCTGTATTTGTTTCTGTTTTGTTTTTCTTTGAGACAGAGTATTGGGTAGTCTGGGCTGTTTTGAACTCACCAGGTAGCTCGTAGCTGAAGATGACCTTACGCTTTTGATCTTCTGTTTCTACTTTTTGACTCCTGGGATCACAGGCCTACGTTAGCATACGTTTGTTTAGGCTGCCGACTTTCTTGGTTCAGCTGTCCCATTTGCCCCTAAAGGCAGTGCTTGTATGTTTTCTTTGAACTCTGTGGCCCTCTACTTGTGCTTTGGGTATTAGGGAAGGCTTCCTGCAGGAGGCAGCTTGTGAAATGGTAGATGGTGGAGAGAAGAGTGGCAGACCTAGCCTCAGAAGCAGTCACGAGTGCACAGGGCGGTGAGAGTTGTAAGATGGTCTTTGAGAGGAAGCGAATTATCCTTTGTGTGTGTGGGGTCTTAGTTACTGTTCTATTGCTGTGAAGAGACACCTTGATCAAGGACACTTACAGAAGGAAGAATTGGGGGCTTGCTTATAATTTCAAAGTGTTAGTCTATGCTTAGTATGCTGGGAAGCATGACTGCAGGCAGGCGTGGCCCCGAAGCTGTACCTGAGTGCTTACACCCTGATCCACTGTTGAGAAGCAGAGAAAAAGTGAGACTGGGCCGGTGTGAGCTTTTGAAACCTCAAAGCCCACCTCCTCTAAAGAGGCCACGCCTCCTAATCCTTCCTACACAGTCCACCAACTGGGAAGCAAACATTCAAACATATGAGCCCTTCCTGTTCACACAACCACAGGGACACAGTGGTTAGACTGTTTAGACTGAGGTGAACTGAGGAGCAGACTGCCAGGGTGGACTGGAGCCGCTGACTGGCCTCTGATCACCAGACTGTAGTTTATCTTTCACGGCAAAAGTAACAAGGAGACAAATGAAGTTTTGAAGCTGGGATCCTCTGTAGGCACAGAATTTCAGTAGCTATGCAAAGACTGCTAGAGTGGAACAAGATGCCAGTCAAGGGAGGGGACTGTGTGGTGGAGGTACAGGAAAGTAGGAAGGCTTGGGCTGGGGGAAAAGCAGGAGAATGAAGTGGGAAATGAAGGGACTTGAGGTTATAAAGGGAAGAGTTGCCGGAGCATGTGACCCCATGAGTGAATTGTAAGCCGGTGAGTGGCCTCGTTAAGGGAGATTTGATGAAGGCTTGGGGCTGCAGTGACTAGAAGAACACAGCACAGTTGACAAACGTGCAAATCATTCTAGAAATTTCAGATGACGCAAAGGAAGATCTGTTAGGGTTTGGGCAGTTGAGACATGAGGTAGACATGAGGCAGGTCATTAGCAACCAGCCGGCTACCAAGTATTCTTCAGTCAGCTTCATTTCTGCCCTTAAGGATTAGCGAAAACCACACCAATTAGAGGAGTATAAAGCTAGACTGAAGTATTCTTTTGTGTGTGTGCGCTTTGCTTTTTAAGTTAGGGTGTTCTTATGTAGTGGTTTAGGCTGGTCCAGAACTTTCCAGGGTTCTAGGCATGTGCTGGCACGCCCAGTGAGCCAGCCTTTGATTCTGAAGTGTTTTATTTATCTGATTCATTAGCTAGAGATGTTCCATCTCTTCAGAGTTTCCGTAGCAGGTTCCTATGCACCACATTACTGTGCCAGCTAGTCTAATGTCAACTTGACACATAAACTAGAGTTATCTGAAAGAAGGGAACCTCAACTGAGAAAAAAAAATTGCTTCCATAAGATCCACCTGTAAAGACTTTTCTTAATTAGTGATTGATAGAGGAGGGCCCTGCCCATTGTGCGTGGCTCCATCACCTGGCTGGGGGTCCTAGGTTCTGTAAGAAAGCAGTCCGAGTAAGCCATGGGAAGCAAGCCAGTAAGAAGCATCCTTCCACAGCCCATCCAACAGCTTCTGCCTCCAGGTTCCTGCCTTGTTTGAGTTCCCATCCTGACTTCCTTCAGTGTTGAACACTGATATGGAAGTGTAAGCCAACTACTTGCCCCTCAGCCCTGCGCCAACTTGCATTTGGTTGTGGTGTTTCATTGCAGCAGATGGAACTCCTAAGACCATTACTTTTTCTGAGTATGTGACTGGCCACAGTCCAGCATCCTCGCTAGCTGGAGTTTGGACCCAGATCCCTCCTCTGCCAGCTGATCATGCTCTATCCATTTGAGGGGCGGAACTTGATCTCTCGTTTCTTATATTTTGGGGTTTGTAGCAGGGATGATATTGAGGTACTTATGCATGTTGAAGAACTTTGTACTGGAATCTATGCAAATTGCATTGGATGCTTTATTAACGCAGAAGGGTCCTCACCTTCTCTATCCTTCCACAGCTGAGGCGGTCATCATCCTTGCCCTTTATTTCCCATGGACTTGGTGTAATGGAAGGAGGTGGCGCAGTTTGCTCACTCCTGCCCCCTATTCCAGCCCCTGGGCCAATGAGGAAGAGCAGAGCATGGCCTTTGGCTTCTGAGAGTTCTGCCGAGCTAAGCCCATTCATTAAGGTGGGGATGACGCACTGATATTGACAAACACCAGTTCTAGGGCCAGGACAAATGGGAGGGGCAGCAGCTTGGGAGATGATGTCAATGTTTTCCCAAGAACCTGCTCTGCCATTAGGGTGACTCAGTGTGTTTCTTGGCACCTCAGCCAGGAGGCAGGCCAGAAGCTGCAGCCTTTTTATCTTTTCCAGGGTGGGGCTGTCCCTGTCTCGGTGGCACTCCGTCTACGGGAAAGCCTTCATTAATCACTTCCTCGCCTGAGATCTGATTAGATGGAGCACAGCTCCAGGCGGGGAAGCAGCGCTCCGGTCTGAGTTTCAAAGGTGTGAGAGCAGACCTATTTTTGAGTCTGAGGAGGTTGCAATATAGAAAATAGAGTTAATGGTAGGGGCAGGTGGATCTCGGTGAGTTAGAGGCCAGCATGGCCCAGGACAGCCAGGGTCAGAGAAACTGTCTCAACAAAACAGAGCTAATGATTCCATCCTCATAGATAGCTGAGGGGTTAAGGTTAGTGTGTGGAAAGCACGTACTACCTCCCGATAAATGGTGTTCTTGTCAAGCGTAGGAAGGGACGCTAGTGTAGCTTCTGCGTTTGAATTCTCGCTGTAGTTGAGTGAGTGACCTTGGGCAACTTTCACGTTGCTGTTTCTTTCTTCTACAAGGAGAACGACAGGAGGTTACTGTGACGAAGCAACGCAGAACAGCGTGACAAGCCACACAGTGAATTCGTCATTCTTTGTAAAAACCCGATATCCTTCACAATGTAGTTCAAGGGGCTTCAGACCCCGCTAATCTGCTCATCGATTTGGGGTTCTCCTTAAAAATCCACCACGCACCGTTTTTGTTATATTCACCTCTCTCAAAAGCACGAGTGGGCTTCTTAGACTCACTTAGGCTACGTTGTTTTGTCTCCAAGCCTCAAAACCAATCCCAAGAGCACTGGAATTAGAATTACACTGAGCGTGAGATAGCAAAAGTTCCTAATACTGTTCCCCGAACGCCTTTTTCCATCTGCGTTTCTACTCCCGGGACAGTGGCGCATTCTTCCCATCTCCTTTTTGAGCTAGTTCTTCTCTAGTCTTGCTTCCCTTCTTACCCTAGGGAACTACTCTCGCCAACAGCACAGCTTCCGGAAACCGCAGCTAAAACCCGCCCACCGGGGGAGGGGGCGCCTGCGCAGACTGGCGTCGCAGGCCTGACGTCAGCGCGCAGGGCCTGCGTCGCCTCCGTGTGACGTTAGACGCCCACCGCTCCTCCCCCCCCGCCCGCCTGTTCGTGCGCATGCTCCCGACTCCGCCCCCGTGCGTCACAGAATGGCCTCCGACACCCAGGGAGCTCCTGACGTGTCGGGGAGGAGCCCGGCGCAGGGGTACGCGGAGTGGAGCTCAGGGCTGCGGAAGGGAGCCGAACTGAGCGGCTGGGCGGGCCTGGCCAGGCCAGCGGAACACAGACGTCGGCCGAGCGGCGGCGAACATGCGCTTTTGACACGTTGGCGGTGAGCTCCCGTGCGAGCGAGGCGGCCCTGGGGGTCGAGCCGGCCGGGCGGCGCCGAGGCCTGCCCCGGGGGAGCCTGCCTGCCCGACGGCGGGGCTGCGGCTCAGGCCCCGCTGGGCCAGGCCGGGCGTGGGTTCTGGGGCGGCCGGTACGGGGACAACTGTTCAACCGCTCTAACTGCCCACCTCACTGCCGGAGGTGTGGCCCACCGGGGGCACCTGCCCGGGAGCGAGTCCGAGGCTTCCCGGGGAGGGACGGAGGCCCGGACGTGGCACTCCGTTGGGGTGGCGGCGGCGCGCTCGGCTCCTCGTCCACCCCCCTGGGTTCCCAGGAGCTGCCAGGGTGGTTAGGAGCGGGGCTGGATTTTGCTTTCCCAGCGCCCCTTCGGTGGGAGGCGAGAGCGGGAGCAGCCCGCGTTGGCAGCGGCTGGCAGTCTCGTGACTGCCCGCCCGGAACTGCTAAGCACCCGCTTTGGAGTTGGGGAAAGTCTCACCAGCCGGCTCGGGTTGCTTGGCCTCGCTACTTATTTTTCTCTGGGAAACGATTGAGTTTAAGGCGAGTGGGGTTTCATTTCATTATTACGGCCCGTTCCTGTAGCGTGTGTAAACACTTTAGAACATTTATCGTTTGCACTTGTGACGGAGTCTTTAAGTCACCTTTTGCTGGATGGGGCAATTAAATGGTTTTTATTTCGGTCCCACTAACTGGTGTGAGGCTTAGCTTGGATTAGAGTTTGTCTTTCTAGGCTGACGGTTCTGGTTTCTGTTTATGAGATTTTTATACCTTCCTCATTCAGAAAGAGGGCCGCACATTGGACATGTCAGAGATAAGGCCGGAAGTTAGTAGATGACTTATTTTCGAGTAAATTGACCAAAAAAGCCATTCGGTTATTAGAAGAAGAAAAAAAAAATCCTAACTGAAGCTTGCTCACGAGTGGTTGGCTTTTAGTTTGAAAATGTTGTTTTCACTGCAGTTAAGAGAGAGAGGGCAGTGTCTGCCAAATCAGAAAGTTGATAGGGCAAAACTCAGCAGTAAGCTGAGGGGTCAGGAGAAGCCAAAGAACACCAAAGGAGAGATCCCTTCAGAGTTGTTGCTAAGTCTTTATTTAGGTTGGGAATGCATAAAGAAAGAAAGAAAACCTTTAGCCCCAGTTAGAGAAGGACCCCATCTCAGTACAAGTTGCAAAATCTGCAGTGGCTTTGTTTTGAATTAGGTAAGTTGAAGTTGGATACAGAGCGTTTGAAATAAAAGACGACCTGAATACGCTGAATATGAAAACTTATTTTCATTTGTATTTTAAACCATGACAAAAATAAACTTGAGGACTGAAGACTAAAGTTAAAATTACTTTGGACTCAAGTTTCTAGGCACTTCAAAAGGGAGAAAAAATTTGATAGGACCTACTTCATTTTGCATATATCTTGATCTGCCATGTAAAATTAATTTTCTTAATAGCGTACAGAGTCTCGTTGCCAGTAAGTTGCGCTGGATTGGCTGTTTAAAATCCAAGTGCGTTAACTGTCAGTTGTTCACATCCGCACCACTCCATATAGAGTGTCATCATGTCTGGTGCAAAAGTTGTAATTTTGAGACTCATACTCCACAGGAGACTACTAAGGGAGGATTGGGAGGAGCAGAGGTGCTTATCCACCTGCATTGCAGCTTCCGAAGGTTGTAGATGTGCTGTGTGAGCACTTTTTAAAGCAGTGAAGAACTTGACATTGGCTAACTTTAGGTAGCCTTAACTTTCTTCACTTACGTAATCTCAAATGGCAGTGACCACATCCTCCCTGTGTAAGCGGAGGCAAACTCCACACACAGTCCTTCCAGTCTCTGAAACAGTTTTGGGATCATCTGCAGTAGTAGCACTTTCATTATTTATAAAGAGCCTGCTTTTTAAAAGGATAAAGTTGATGAGTAGGTGTCGAGGGGTAAACTGGGTCCTGCCAGGCAGGAAGCAACAGAGACAAAGTGTGACTGAAGGGTAAGAACTGCTTGTTTTTTAATCTAGTTCACAAAGTGTATTCCAGGGGAGAAATTTTAGACATACTTTTGTAGTGAAATGCTTTTGAGGAATCATGTGTTTTAAATTCAGAGGTTGTTGGGAGTACTTTTTAAAAACTTTTATTTACATTTTTTATATCTCTTTCTCCCTACTCACCCCAATCACTTCCAACACCCCAACCCCATGTAGGAGAGAGAAAGGGTTGGTGGGAGAGGGGCCGCAGTTCTAGCTGCTTCCTGCTGGTCAGGGTCCTCGGGTTCCTTGGAGCCAGTGCAATCCTTGTTTCAGGAGATCCCCAACTTCTCGTCTCACAGCAGCAACCAGGCACCGTAGGGGGAAACAGCAGCCTTGTTCGTTCTCAGAGCTCCCCAACACTCTCTGGGCTCTGGCATTTATTCTTTCCCCAGAGTCCTCAGATTGAAACTATCTGCAGCTGTCAAAGAGCTCTCAGAGCTGGCATGAGGCAGATAGTTTGCTGCTGTGGACTGTCTGAATCACCCAGAATTAAAACAGAAACATGTTACTTCCACAACAGGAGGTCTGTTTGTGGTCTGACCTTAAAGGTCCACTTTTGTCCTACTAGTTTCTTAGAATTGAATTTACATTTATGCTGTGTTCTCTGTGTATCAGGCTCTGCTCCAGGCGCTGTACAAATAGTGACTGACTTCATTTTCAAAACACAACTTGTTTTCCTGTTTTATGGGTGAGAAAATGAGGCACTGAGTAGTTGAGTAGCTTGCCCAAGGTCACCCAGCTAGGGCGGAGCTTGGCTGCAGGGGTTGGGCTTTTAGGCACTTTGTGTGCTGATTTTCTGGCTTACTCATTTTCTTTTTAAAACTGTGTCTGTCTGTCTGTGTCTGTGCGCATGTGCACGTGCATACATATATGTGAGTATGTGTGAATGTAGGTGACTGCAAAGGCCAGAAGGAGGAGCTTAGAGGTACAGGGGTTTTAAGTTGCCCTATGTGGGTGCTGGGAATTAAATTCCAGCATTTGAAAGAATAGCTAGCTAGCTAGTGTCTTAACCACTGAGCCACCTCTTCAGCCCCCCTGACTTGTTCTTTTCAAAGATAGATATATTTATTTTTATTATATTTAATTATGTGTAAGCATGTGTCTGCATGAGGGTATGTTCATGTGAATACAGGGCCCACAGAGGCAAGAGGCATCTGATTCCCTGGAGCTGGAGCTATTATAGGTGGTTGTGAGCTGCCTGATGTAGGTGCTGGGAACTGAACTCTGGCCCTCTGGAAGAGCAGCAATCGCCCCTAACTGAAGAGCTATCTCTATTCCTATATATATATATATATTAAACTTTTGTTGTTGTTTTTTTCTTTTTGAAAAAACTCTCTTTGTAGTCTAGGCTGCACTTCCAACCTGCCTTGCAGCTAGGGACAACCTTGTATTTCTGATCCTGTTCTCTCCATCTACTGGAGGCTGGGATGACAGATGTGCTGCACACTGGTTTATGCAGCGGTGTGGATTGAACCCAGGGCTTCATGCTGTGCTAGGCAGGTGCTTTACCCTGAAACATCCTCAGCCTCCTCGGACTTATTCTTGATTAAATATTGTTATTTTGTTTTGTTGTGTTCTGTATGTATTAAATATATATGTATATATTATATAAACAGGATCTTACTGGCTATGTAAATGAGGTTAGCCTGAAATTTGTGTTGATCCTACTGCTTCCTTGGGTCCTCTTACCTCTGTCTCTTCAGTGCAGGATCACATTTGAGTTTGTCCTCTGGCCTCCACTTGCATGCATACACATGCATGCAAATCTGCGCACAAACACCTCCCTGACACATGAACACATACACAGAAGCACATAAAATAATATAAAAGACTATATAGCTTTAGATAATCATTCTGGATTGTACATTTTAAAGAGCTAAAAGGATTTCCAAAGTTTTCACCAGAGAGGATTGGTAATCATTTGAGAAGGTAAATATGTTTAACACTATAAGTAGCATGCACTATATTCGTATATCAAACATTACATGGTGCTCTGTTAATATGTACAACCTTTAAGTTTTCTGTATAACCTAAGGAAATATGAAAAAAGCATGTCCCTACTTAAGGACCAAAAGCTGGAGACAAATGCATAGTTTGTAGCGTCCTCAGAGGTGTAAACAGCGTCGCTCTCCAGGGGCCATTGCTAAGCTAAGTGCTTTTCAAAGCAGCAGCTACCGGTTAAGTCCAAACAACAAAACCACCTCCACACAGAACAGAATGGGCAAATGAAGGAAACTTATATACAAAACAGAATCTGACCTTATTGGTAGAAGGATTAGTTTCACATTCAGACACCATTCAATAAAATAACTGTTAGCTGTCCAGGGAGGCACTAGAAGCTCCCTTAAGGACACTGGTCCATGGTTTACACAATCACCAGTAATATCAAACAAATGTTGCATAGTAACAAAAGTATGTAAAACTCAAACGATAAAGTTTCTCTGCTGAATGAAATGTCAGTACTCAAGTGCAGCACCGTTTAGAGAAATGTAAGCTAAGAGCAGTCTAAAGTAGGGCAGAAAAAACAGTTAGGGGCCTCACGTGGCTGCTGAATACGGTAAAGTATTTATTTGAGGAAGAACAAGGCTCAGATGTTATCATTAGTGTCTGCCAAGATCAGACAGGTGTAAAAGTGGAGAACACAGTCTTGTTTACCAAATCTTGGAAGCCTGCAGCAGAGCAACGTACAAACTTAGAACACATTCAAGGGTGAAATTAGAAAGCTCATTGATGGCTGAAGTTAGTGGATTTATCCCAGTTGTTTAAAATAATATATAATCTGTTGAGTTAAGAAATTTAGATTTCGGGCTGGAATGGTGGTTAAGAGCACTGATTACTCTTCTGGAAGACCTGGGTTCAATTTCCCACCCCCACATGACATCTCACAACCATTTGTAACTTCACTTCCAGGGGATCTGATGTCCTCTTCTGCCCCCCCCCCCCAAACATTATACTTATATGGTACAGACTGAAAAATCCACACATAGGAAACAAATATAAGTACAGCTCTAAAAATGAAAAAACTAGATTTCGAATCATGAATTAAAATTTTTACATACAGGCCAGGCAGTGGTGGTGCACACCTTTAATCCCAGCACTTGGGAAGCAGAGGTAGGCCAGTCTCTGAGTTTGAGGACAGGCTAGTCTACAGAAAGAGTTCCAGGACAGCCAGGGCTACACAGAGAATCCCTGTCTCAGGAAGAAACAAAACGAAACCCAAACCAAACCCAAACAGAAAAAATGTGTGTGTGTGTGTGTTGTTGTTTTTTTTTTTTTTTAATATATATACAGATGAAGACAATCTTGAATTATCTTACTCCAGAGTTAGGGGTGTGTGTGTGTGTGTGTGTGCGCGTGCATGTGCAGGAGGGAGAGAAGGAGGGGGAGAGAGAGATGGAGGAAGGAGTGTGTTAGAGTTCAAAGCGTTCAGTTATAGTTTTGCTAATTGACAAAAGAGTAATGACTTTTCAGTTGCTTATTTAAACAGCCTTGTAGTCACAGTATCTATTCTGTGTGAGTTCCCCCTTTCTTTTCAGAGCTATTTCTGTATTTGAGCCATTCTGGGCTATTGGCCTTGGCTTTATCCTGGGACTTCATTGCAGCCCTGGGGTGGAGCTGCTATGTCCTTCAGCCTGTGTCTTCCAGGTCATGTATTTCAAGTGTTTTGGAAGAATTTATAAACGAGACAGGTCCTGTCCTCAAGGAAATAACTAGAGAGACTTATTTAGTTTCTCTTACTTGGTGTCTTGTGGAAGACAGTGTCAGCCGTATAGGAACTTTGCTTCTTGGGTCATCTCTGGTCTTTATAACACCTAAAAAATAATTTAAAAACATAATTTATTGGCTTTTTTTTTTTTTTTTTAAGAAACTGAACATTTGAGCTGTCCATTGACACATGGTGGTCAGTTTTCAAATGATTAATCTAAATTTGGGGCAGGATTGGGTTTGTGTATTTAGTAGGGATGGTACCCAGGGCTCTTGTACATGCTAGCTAAATGCTCTACCACTGACCTATACCCCCAGCTCTAGGGAGTATTTGTTTTTTGCCTGCATGCGTGTCTGTGCACCATTTGCATGACTGGTGCCCACAGAGACCAGAAGAGGCCATCAAACCCCATGGAACTAAATGCAGATGGTTGTGAGCTGCTGTGTGGATGCTGAGAATAGAACCCTGGTCTTCTGGAAGAGCAGCCAGTGCTCTTAACTGCTGAGCACTATCTCTGGCCCCTGATGTACAGATTCAGATTTATCACAATTTTCAGGACACTTTGGGAAAAGATCTTATGTAGAGCGTTAGAGGGCACACAGGGATTGTTGCTTCAACAACAATTTCGATGCTATCACTTACTTGCTGGAATTCTGTCTTCATCTGGATTGTCAAAATGTATTCCTGTCCTAAGGACACTTCAGTACTAACCCTGAAGAGTTTCTGATCCCACAGGGTGATTCAGTACTTTGGATCTTTTGAAATAATGAGTTCCTCTGGTTGCTGAAGAGCCCATCCTTACCCGTGGACTAACATATGTCAAGCAGTAACCTGTTTTTAGGCAAGTGATGGGAATTTTTGGGACTTTTACAAAGGGACAGAATTATAGAACCAATCAGTATTTATTAATCAGTACATATACTTAAAATATTTAGCAACCCAGTGTAGTCTACACCTTTATTAAGATGAAACAAATGAACAACCGAAGTGAGCAGTTTGTATAAGTAATTTATTAGCAGGAGTGGAACCTAGAACCCAGCCTCAACAGGACTCCCAGGCCTGTGTGGTTAGCATGTTAACATGCTCTCATGCTATAAAGATATCTCCAAGAGTGAAGCAATACAGAGAAATCTGTGCGAGTGTAGGTGTAATCAGATTAGAGTTTGGTGTATTTGTCCAGTAACACATGCCTAGTGTTTAATATCTTATTAGTGTTCATTGCAGCATTAGGTCCTTCTCTGATCAGTCTGTTGTCTTCAGTGTCATGAAGAAACACAAGCGGTGTCAAGAATCTGTATCTTTCAAAGAACTTTCAGGGTGATTGGCAGTTTAAGATAACTGGAATATTTACTAATCAGATACCAAGATAATAGATGATATGAGCAGCAAAGATTTGGTTAAGGGAAAATTGGCATCGTGCCTCAAAAAAATTAAGGTCAGCATATCAAGTTATTTTTAGTTTTATCACCACTAAACATACTCCGTGCCTCATCTTACACCTGGATCTGGAGTTCTGTGTGTGCTGTTGTCTGTGACTTAGTTCCTGTTAAACATCTGAGTTCCTTTCATTTCCAAGGCTTTATTTGTTTAAGACTTTTTAATTTCTTACTGGCCGGCACACATTGTGGTTTTAATTCGGTAGACATTACTGTGTATTTCCTATTGTGTGGCTGTGGTGCTGGGACGGGATTGTAGGAATGACGTGGCAGGAATCTGGAGTGGGCCAGTCATCTTGGTGTCTTTATCTGTGCTGTGGTCATTTGGGAATTTTAGCCAGTTGAAATCACAAGCACAGCTAACTAGACCCCTCTCTGTAAATGCTTTGGGGAAGAACCGAGACAAAGGTCATGCAGCTGCAGATGAGTGGAGCTTTGGGGGAAGCTTGGGTTGAAGGGTGACTGAGGATGTTTTCAGAACTGTGATCTGAGAATGTGGGCCTTGCCTGATGTGGTAGTCTCACTAGGCATGAGGGTTCTAAGCAGGTCGCTTGCTTGCTTTTCTCTCCTTCCTCTCTGCTCCCTCCTTCCCTCCAACCCCTTCCCCACTTTTTTTTTGAGACAGGGTCTCATGTAACCCAGGCTGGCCTTGAACATCCTCTGTAGCTGAGGATGCCCCCCCCCTCCAGTTCTCAGTGCTGATGTTGCAGGTGGTGCCAGGGATCACACCCTCGCCAAGCAGGTTAGCAGCCAAGCCACATCCTCAGACCCCTGCAGGGGGAGTGGCAACGTCGCCGACATTTGTTTCTGTCGCTGGATTCCCTGAAGACCAGTCGGCCATAAACTAAGTGCTGGGACTGACAGTAGGTTAATCCTGTGGTCAAATTATCCAGCCTCCAGTGCTTTAGCTGAAAATGCCTCATTGCCTTTGTATCAAAGGACCCTGTTGTCACCTCCTTTCATGAGCTCATCCACAATGTTGGTTGTCCTCAAGTGAGTTAGGATGTGTGCCTAAGTTCTAGGAAAGTGGCAGCCACTTCTAGAACCTTTGAAACTACCAAACGCAGTGCCATGTTTTCATTCACATTTGGGTTCTTTGTCTTTAATATCACAGGCTTTCTTGATCATGGATGGTGAAGATATACCAGATTTTTCAAGTTTAAAGGAAGAAACTGCTTATTGGAAGGAACTTTCCTTGAAGTATAAGCAAAGGTAGTGTTTGAAAACATATGAAAGTAGGGGTGGGATTTGGAATATATCATATGGCTTGTACATGTGTTTTATTTTGGAGCATAAGGCTAAATTTGGAGTTTCAGATTTAGGATTGTGATCCCATAGTAATAACAGTGTTTGTTTTAAAATAGTGAAAAACTACCACTGATCTTTATATTGTTCAGATTGAAGTAGCAGGCAGCTTTAGTGCCACCTGTGAATTCTTCTGATTGCTTGCCTCCAGTGGCTTGTTACTAGTTGGGCTGTCTGTGCACTGGTGCTCTCTCGTCATTTGCTTATTTGAGAGGTTTAAATCAGACTTTAGTTCTTCTCTGGTGTGCATTGTTAGTGTTGGGAGGGAGCTGAGCTTCCAAGCTGTGGAGCATTTTATAAAATTATTACTTCACTTAGTTGGGAAGAAAATAGCTCTTTGGCCTCAAAACTTACCTTAAATTCCTGTTCTTTAATGAATCTTTCTTATGCCTTTTTTGGAGATTGATTTGTTTTTGTTTTACGTGATGGGTGCTTTGCCTGCATGTGTGCCTGTGCACCGTGTGCCCATACAGAGCAGAAGAGGGCGTTAGGTCCCTTGGGGCTGCAGTTAAGGATGGTTCTGAGCTGCCCTGTGGGTGCTGGGAATTGAATTCCAGTCCTGGACAAGCAGCAAGTGCTCTAAACCGAGCCATCTCTCCAGCCTTGAAATCCTGCTAAGATGCTTCTATACTTGACAGAGTTCACTCAGCCTTCTAAAGTCCCATTGTAATTTCCTTGTGGTTGTGTCAGGCCAGGGGGTGACTCTACCTCTGTCCAGTAGAGGTTCTTAATTTGTTCTAATATTATAGCTTCCTCCAGAGGCTGGGAAGCCTGTGAACCCCTTCTTGGAATACTTTTAAGTGCTGAAAATTAAGTAATGGCATTATAGAGGAAACCAGTTATTCAAAGGTTATCTAAATAGTAGGCTCGTTTGTGGCACTGTAACAATGTGCTAGTGCAGTAAGTAAGGACATAGAGAAGCGCAGTAGCTACCTGATTCTGAACTAGTGATCAGAGTGACAGATGTGTACTAGCTGCTGGGATCCGAGAGCGTCTGCTGATTTGTGTTGATAGAATGGAGAGGAATGCTCAGGTGAAGTTACCCCCTCCTCTGTCAGCCCTGTGGAGGAAGGAGCTAGTGGTTCTGAGCCGTGTACAACTATTTTTTGTAAATGTAATTACTGATTTATGTGGGCTTTTTAGGGGGGGCTTATAACTGATTTTTACTGAATCCTGAATACATGTGAAGCAAGACATACAGAGCATTTCCCCTGCTGTGTCACCTTTTTTCTGAGGACGGTAACTTTCAAACAAATGCTGGAATTGCTGTGTAATTATGTGAGAGGACTCAGCTATTAACTTGTCTTTCCACTTTGCTTCTGCTTAGCTTCCAGGAAGCTCGGGACGAGCTGGTTGAATTCCAGGAAGGAAGCAGAGAATTAGAAGCAGAGTTGGAGGCACAGTTAGTACAGGCTGAACAAAGAAACAGAGACCTGCAAGCTGACAACCAAAGACTGAAATATGAAGTGGAGGCGTTAAAGGTAACTGGCAAAGCTACTTCCTGGGTGCCGTGCCATCTAGTGCCCTGGCATTTATGAAAGTGACAAGTAGGACCAGTGAAATGGCTTAAAGGCACTTGCTACTAAGCCTGACATCCTGAGTTTGATTTCTGGGCCCCACATAGTGGAAGAAGAGAACCTTTTTCCTTAAGTTGTTTTTTGATCCCCACACATGTGCTATAGCATGGGTATAGACATACACTACATGAAATAGAGGAATATTTAAAAATGAAAACTGTATTAAGGAGTACTTAAGAGAATCATGTAACCAAAAAATATTTTTTAAAGCTTGATAGATTTTTTTTTTTTTTCTTTTAAATAGAACCAAAAGGTGGTTCAGAGCTTAGGAATGCTCATAGGAAGTTTATGGCTAGTAGTTTTCTGCCGGTCACGCTCTTCACTATATTTTAATTCCTATACTTTCTAAAGCTTTCTGGTTATTTGTTTAGACAAGTTGCTTGTCTCATTGTGTTCTGCCTTAAAATTTATATGACACATACTTTTTTTGGTGTTTTTTTTTTTTTTTTTTCTCTCAAACTTCTTTTGGTATTGTTTATAGCTCTTGAGTTTTAGAATTTAATTTGGGTTAGAAATCTTCCTTCCAAAAGGAGTTTCAGGCCCCAGGGTTGAAAAGTGGTTGGTAGATGAGAGTTCAGTGGTTGGTAGATGCTTGCCTCGCATGTGCGTGGCCTTGGGTTCAGTTTTTCTCCGTCAGCTGCCCTGGGGGCCTAGGAGTATTTCTTTTCTTAGAAATAGAATCTGCTTTAAAGAGGAAGTAGAATATCTTTTATAGTCTTTGACCACTTCACCTAACAGTGTGTTAGGATATTCACCTCAGTTTCCCTCTCCTGCTCCTCATCTGCTCCCCACATGCTCTTCCACCCCCTTCTTGTCTTTTTCCCTCCTATATCCCCTGAGTACAATTCTGCCTGCTGTAATGTTAACTGGTCTTGTTAGCTTGCTCTTATATAGGTCGTATGTAGGTAACTATGGCGGTAGTGATTGCAGATGCCATGTTATATCCAGAAGACATTTTAAACATTTTACAGAGCTCTTTCTCATCCTTTTGTGCTTGTTTTTAAACTCTATTATATTGGGGCATTTAAGCCTTTCTTCCACCAACCCTTTAACCCTAGGTCAGAGAGAGAAGGTTAGTGGGGAGAGGGGGCCACAGACCCTTTACTTCTGGTGTTTAGGGTCGATGGGTTCTTTTGGGGTTACACCAATCTCTGTCAACAGCAAACAGTCTCCTCCAAGCTGCTTCATTGAAACACTTCTCTCAGTTTGTCTCCTCCAAGCTGCCACACCTTCTCTTCCTGGGCTCTCATATCTATATCCTTCAGAGTTCTAGACCACACCCCTCTCTGTGCTGCATGAAGCAGGCCATTAGCAGCTGGCAAAAGACCATGCTCCACAGGAGGCAGTTACAGCAACAGCTGTGGACAAACTAAAGCCCAACTAAAATCCCACACTTGAGATTAAAACAAAACATATTTACATAACATAACTGAGTTTTTAAAGACACCAAAACTTCCATTTCATCCTTTAGTTCTTACATTCTTTGTACCCTCTCTTCTGTGGTGTTCCCTGAGCTTTGGTGATAGGGTGGGATGGTGGTGGGCTGAGCCCTCAAGACTCTGTTCTCTGGCCACTGTTGAAGACAGTACTAATTTATGGGCATAAATACATACTTAGGCAGAGTCATATGAGTAGTTTCCTCACTGGGGCCTGCAACTTTTTGACCAGATTTACAGTACCAAGCGTGAGTTTCCTCCCCTGAGGCAGGCCTCAGATCCAGTCCAGAAGTGGTTAGTTACTCCTGTAGCCTTCATGCTGCTGTTGCACCAGTGGGCACAGCTGGCCCTGCAGGTCATTGCTGTTGCATGTGAGGTACTCTGCTGGGTGGTGGCAGCTGCCTGTATGGCATCTCTGGCGCTGTGGAAGCTGGTCAGAGGGAGGACGTTTTCACTTTGGTTCTGGCTGGACTTCTCGATGTCCTGTAACCAGTGTGTGCTGTGTCTTTAGTAGTAGGATTTTCATGTCAAGTTCTGGTGGGCAGCCAAGAGTCATATCAGTGGCTGTGTGATGTGGGGGCCTCTGGGGAGAGAGCATCTCCGTGGGAATGAGTGTTGGGAGCTGGGGAGCAGGGAGAAAGGAGGGCTTTGCCCTCTGGATGGTTTGTGCTTACCTCGGGCCGCAGTCATCCTGCAAACCTAGAGGGGCCTCAGCAGCTCAGGCGTTCTCTTTAGAGGGGCCTCAGCAGGCCCAGGCGTTCTCTTTAGAGGTGCCTCAGCAGGCTCAGGCGTTCTCTTTAGAGGGGCCTCAGCAGCTCAGGCATTCTCTTTAGAGGGGCCTCAGCAGCTCAGGCGTTCTCTTTAGAGGTGCCTCAGCAGCTCAGGCGTTCTCTTTAGAGGGGCCTCAGCAGGCCCAGGCGTTCTCTTTAGAGGTGCCTCAGCAGGCCCAGGCGTTCTCTTTAGAGGGGCCTCAGCAGGCTCAGGCGTTCTCTTTAGAGGGGCCTCAGCAGGCTCAGGCGTTCTCTTTAGAGGTGCCTCAGCAGGCTCAGGCGTTCTCTTTAGAGGGGCCTCAGCAGGCCCAGGTGTTCTCTTTAGAGGTGCCTCAGCAGGCTCAGGCGTTCTCTTTAGAGTGCCTCAGCAGGCCCAGGCGTTCTCTTTAGAGGGGCCTCAGCAGGCCCAGGCGTTCTCTTTAGAGGGGCCTCAGCAGGCTCAGGCGTTCTCTTTAGAGGGGCCTCAGCAGGTCAGGCGTTCTCTTTAAAGGGTCAATTTTAGATTTGCGTCTGTGTGCCTTGCCATGTGAGCACAGTGCCCGTGGAAGCCAGAGAAGAGCAGACTTTCCTGGAGCTGGACTCAGAGGTGATTGTGAGCACTTGACATGAATGCTGGGAATCAGACTCTGGTTCTTCGCAAGAGCATCGCGTTATCTTAACTGGACTCATCTCTCCAGCCCCAGATTTAGATTCTGAGGGAAAGATTCTATTATTTTACTTTTCAGAAAGACCATCTTTTTTCTGAGAATGGTTAGTATATGCTTTACATGAATTCTGCCATTTAGAATGGCTTTCCAACTTGTTTTAAAAGTATTGCAGAAAGGAGGGGTGCCGTCACCTTGGACTGTGGTGACGTCATCTGACCTTTTCTCCTGCCTGCACTGGGAGTTCTTTTCTTAATAGGTGGTTGTGTGTGAACACACGCCCTTCTCTTCTCCCTTCAGGAGAAACTGGAGCATCAGTATGCACAGAGCTACAAGCAGGTCTCAGTGCTAGAGGACGACCTCAGTCAGACCCGGGCCGTGAAGGAGCAGCTGCACAAGTATGTGCGTGAGCTCGAGCAGGCCAACGATGACCTGGAGCGCGCCAAAAGGTGAAGGACGCTGTGTGTGTGTGTGGGCATGGCCTCCACACAACCCCTTTTCCTGGTGTCTCATGTCTTTTGTGACTCATTGGATCGAAAGGGACTGAAACACAACAGACAAGGCTTGCTAGTACACACCTTTAATCCCAGTATAGGGGAGACTGATGCAGGAAGCTTTCTGTCAGTTTGAGGTCAGTCTGGGCTATATACTGAGTTTCAGTCCTGGCATGCTATAGATACAGCGAGATGCTGACTCAGAACATCGCCACCTTTTCCGTGTACTGGATGCCTGCACATCTTAAGCCTGGATTCAGCACACTCTCTTACTTTAATACTAGCCAGCGGGTTCTCTATTTCCTGTTTCCACCCTACAGCTGTTAGCTGTTACTGTTGTCAGGTGTTCATGTCTCTTTTGTTTTTCGAGACAGGGTTACACTGTGTAGCCTTGGCTGTACTGGACTCATTGTAGACCGGGCTGGCCTTGAACTCACAGAGAGCTTTCCTCTGCCTCCCAGAATGTGGGATTGCAGGCATACACCTCTGCACCTGGCTTGTTACTTTGTTTTTTGAGACAGGGTTTCTCTGTGTAGCCCTGGCTGTTCTGGAACTTGTTCTGTAGACCAGGCTGGCCTCGAACTCAGAGATTCACCTGCTTCTGCCTCTTAGTACTGGGCCTGCACCACCGCTGCTCATCATGTCTCTATTATCAGTTGTTTCTTAATCATTCTAAACCTAGCTCCAGTACTTTTTCTTTAGTGCTTACCAGTTGACTCTTCATTGACATGATGCTAGTCCCTGTCCTTGTAGCTGGTCCCTAAGAACACTTAGCTCTGATAAATCCTCTGCTGAGAAGATGCAGGCTGCTTAAGGGAAGCCATAGCATGCCTGTGGGAACTGGGGAGCCTTTTTACAAATTGGGGCTGAGTCTGCAAAGAATAAAAGTTAACTAGGCAGAGGACCAAGGAAGAGGTTGAGAGTCAGGAAGGTGTTTGAAGTACTATATAAGAGGTTATTTTAATTGGCAGGTCTGGTGACAGCTGAAGGACGTGAGAATGGAAGGTGCTGGGGTCAAGTTGTGACTAAACCTATGTGCAATGTTTGAGTCTCTCTCTCTTTTTAAACAAAGGGGTACTATCAGATCTTGATTTGAGAAGACAATTCTGAGAATTTAAGTAAAAAGGAGATGACAACCATGAAGCAGTAATCCAGATGAGAAATGAAGTATTAAGGCAGGAGAGGGGAGAAAGATTAAAGAAGAGACGCTTTGTAAGACATTCTGGCACTGACTGTAACTGATAAGATTGGAATTGGCATTCTGAGTTCAGATTCTAAGTTGGGGAATTGTATTTCTGTAGCAGACAGCAGGGACTGGGAGGCACAGAGTAGATAGATGCTAATTTTTGCTGAATGTAGTGAGATCATTCTCCAAATTGGGTCAGGCTGACTAGCTGTGGACTGGCGGGAGCTAACCTGACTGCTGCCTTTTGTATGCATGTTATTCATGGGCTCTTACAATTTTTTTAAAGGGCAACAATAGTTTCACTGGAAGACTTTGAACAAAGGCTAAATCAAGCCATTGAACGAAATGCATTTTTAGAAAGTGAACTTGATGAAAAGGAATCTTTGTTGGTCTCAGTACAGAGGTTAAAGGATGAAGCAAGAGGTAAGCTTTATAATTTAGCAAGTGTTTATCTGTTGCCTTGTCCGTGAGCCCCAGTAAGCCCAAGGACTAACCCTTTTGACAGTGCTGAGAGTCATAGCCAGGGCCTGGAGCATGCTGGGTAAGCATTCTGCTTCTGAGCTATGCCTCAGGCACTCATTTTCTCTGAAGCTCTGCTTTCACATGCTTTTACATACCTTTTCATCATTGCTCCAGTTGCTTTTAAGCTGGTAATTTATTTCATGCCCATATCATCAATGCTGAGAAGTGGGTGTGACCTCCATATTACAGATGAGAAAAATGGAAGTTTTTTTCATTGTAGTGCTGCTTTTCATTTGAATTTTTTCCTTGATTGATTCTAGTTAATAACTTCATGTTATCTACATAGAACCGTGTGTGGGTGTATGCTGCGGTTTATGTTATACATCGAGCTAGTGCACACTTTCTTTAGAACTTCCCTTTCTCATAGAAACACAAAATTGAGAATATTATAAAGAAGGAAAGCCCACCAACAGCGTGACATATTGGTTAATTTTTTTATGATTGTACATACTGTGTATTTTCCCTTATATGATTCCTGGCTTCTTTCCTATGAGTAAACGGACACACATATTTCCCTTTCTTCTGCCTAATGTAGGGCATATTCCTGGCATCACAGATTTTTAAAGCAGGCTTTGGGTCTGAAGAGGTGGCGCAGCTGTTGCAACATTTACTGCTCTTGCTCTTGTTTCCTTTATAATGTTCTGAATCTCATTGTGCTGAGGAGGAAGTTCTAAAGAAAGTGTGTTTTAATTATATGTCATCTCTTTTTATAGATTTTCAGTGCTTTTTAATTTTTTTTCTGATGGTAATGTCATCTGAATTTTTTTTTTTTTTTTTTTGAGTTTTAAAAAGATTTTATGTGTAAAGATGTTTTGGCTGCATGTATGTGTAACCACCTGCATGCTTGGTGCCCTCAGAAGCTGGAAGAGGCATCAGGTCCCTGGAACTGGAGTTACAGATGGTTGTGAGCCACTGTGTGGGTGGTGGGAATCAACCCCCCGCCCATCCTTTGGAAGAGAGTGTGCTGAGCCGCCTCTTCAGCCCCTGAAGGATTGTTTTAGTTTATGTAATCTATCAAGGATTAACTTGGCCTTGTTTATTGATAGCTTCTGTTTGCAGTGCTGGAAATGAACATAGGGCCTTGTGCATGACAGGCACGCGCGGTTCCACTGTGCTCCGTCCCATCCTGGCTCCTTCGTGGTCTGTTCATTTGTTTTGAGGTGGTGGGGGCCTCAGTGTGGCCAGGCGAGTGCTGCTGCTGAGCCGCATTCCTGGCCCCTTACTTACTTTAATTGTGTTCAACAACTGCAACAACGAAGTGCGCAGAGCATTGCACTTAACGTCTGCCATTTTGTTTTTGGAGACAGAGTCTCACTCTGTAGCCCTCACTGGCCTGGGTCCCACTATGTAGACATATTGGCCTCCAAGTCAGGGAGTTCCCTTCCTCTGCCCTCTCGAGGGTGGAATTAAAAATTGAAAGTGTGTGCCACAATACCCGGCTGATTTTTAATTATTATTATATATGTGACTGGCTGACTTCATTTTCTGTAGTGTCCTCAAGGTTTCTTTATGTTGTAGAGACAAACTTTATTAAAATTTCTTTTAATACACTTTCTTTTTATAAAAATTTTTATATAAAACTTTTATATAAAACTTTCTTTTAATAAAATTTCTTTTAATAAACTTTATTAAAAGTTTTTTTTTTTAAATTGTCTCCGTGTGTGGGTGTGTGGGTGTGTGCGTGTGGTTGCGCCTCGCCTGTGCCTGCCTGCGTGAGTGCGGAGGGATGAGTGGAGTTGGAAGGACAACTTTCGGGAATTTGTTCATTCCTGGCTCTTATAGAAAATGGGTTTTCTTTCCTCTGAGAGTGGACTGGGGTTGCTTGCACTCTTGTTCTCGTGAACAGAGATGCTGTTGATATAGGTTGCATATATCAGTTTGTAATCCTGTTTTGACCTTTTTCATCTCAAAGGTGGAATAACTTACATACTTTTTTTTTTTTTCCTCTCTCTCTCTCTGTCCAGACAGGGTTTCTTTATGTAGCCCTGGCTGTCTTGGAACTTTCTCTGAAGGCCAGGCTGGCCTCAAACTCACAAACATCAGCTTACCTCTGCCTCCCAAGTGCTGGGAGGCACCACCTCTGCCTGGCTTGTTTTTCTCTTTTTGAAATAGGGTCTACATGCCCTGGCTGTTCTGGAACTCACTACATAGACCATGCTGACCTTGAGCTCTCTGAGGTCCGCCTTTTGTATCCTTTTTTAAACATATTTTTTTTCAGGCTAGTTGTATAACTGGAAACATTAAAATTTCAATATGAAGGGCTGGAGAGATGGCTCAGAGGTTAAGAGCACTGGCTGCTCTTCCAAAAGTCCCAAGTTCAATTCCCAGCACCAACATGGTGGCTCACAACCATCTATAGTGAGATATGGTGCCCCCTTCTGGTGTGCAGGTGTACACGAAGTACAGAATACTGTATAAATAATAAATAAATAAAATCTTCAAAAATTCAATATGAAAAAAGATTTCATGATGGTAGTTTAAAAAGCTGAGGTGTGGTAATTCACACCTGTAATCCGGGTACTTGGGAAGCAAAGACAGCTGGATCTTTGAGGTCAGCTCATCTACACAGAGAGTTCCAGACCCACCAGAGCTGCATCATGAGAGTTTGTCTTAAAAAAAAATACAGAACTTTTTTTTACTTCATTGGTTTTTGTAGTAATCTTGAAATTACCACTTCAAAACGTGGCATGCAAGTATGTATGCAAATGAGTTGGCTAGAGATATTTTGTGTTAGTTTCACTGTGAGTTCCATTTTGTGTCCTGCTCTATTTTTTTCAGATTTTTTATTTATGTATGTATGTGTACACCATTTGTGTGCAGGTGCCTGCAGAAGCCAGAAGAGGGTGTCAGATCCCCTGGAGCTAGAGTTACATGCAGCTGTGAGCCGACTGATGGACTGGGAACTGAACTTGTCCTATGGAAAAGTCATCTCTTCAGCCCTCACTGCTCAGTTTCTTTTTGCCTTTGGGCATAATACTGTTCTGTGAGGTTCTAGCATTTTAAAATTTTTTTAAAAAATCATGTTTACTTATTTAGTGTGTGTATGCGTGTGCACTGCTTGAATGTGGAAGTCAGAGGACCCCTTGTAGGGTTGGTTCTCAGAGTCTACCGTGTCGGTCTCAGGGATGGGGCTCAGGTTGTCAGGCTTGGCAGCCAGTGTGGTAATCCGGGAAGTCCTCTCACTGCCCCATGTGTGTTAAGTTCTAAGAGGTTATTTAAGTTGTTCTGAGAGGAAAATGTTCAGATAGGAAGTTTGTTTTGAGAAATAGTAACTTAGGAATGTCTTTACAGTGTTTTGCTTGGGACTTTGTGTGATATCTATTTCCCTGTAGTGAGGATTCTTGTATTTGTTGGCAACGTTTTGCAGATTTAAGGCAAGAGCTGGCAGTTCGGGAACGACAGCAGGAAGTGACCCGGAAGTCCGCTCCCAGCTCGCCGACTCTGGACTGTGAGAAGATGGACTCTGCTGTGCAGGCTTCCCTCTCGTTGCCTGCAACGCCTGTAGGGAAAGGAACAGAGAACAGTTTTCCTTCACCAAAAGGTGTGTATTTTCTCCTTAAGCCTGTGCTGATGACCAGCTTTCCTGCATTTGCTGATGAAGCAAGAGCTGCCTCATTTAAGCAAGAATTGCGGTTTACAAGTCACTTTTCTGTTCATTGAGCAAAGGGAGACTGTTACCCTAGGCCATTGGCGTGCAGCAGGTGAGATGGTGTCTGCGCGTAAGAGCAACTGAAGTCAGGTATTTAGACAGAGGGTTACTTATTCATGTATTTTTCAAGACGGTTTCTCTGTAGCCCTGGCTGTCTTAGAGCTCGCTCTGTAGACCAGGCTGGCCTTGAAGCCAGAGATCTGCTGCCTCTGCCTCCCCAGTGCTGGGATTCAAGGTGTGTGCCACCACACCCACAAGTTAAAAAAAATTAAGTTTTAAATTTTATTTTTAAAAGTTAATTTTTGTTTATTGTAAAAATATGTGTGCATACAGATTTATTATCTGTTTGTTTATCTGGAGGTTTGGGGATTGAACCCAGCGTGCCCTGTGTGCTTGGCAAGAGCACTGAGACTGATCTGTAGTTTTCAGTACCATGCAGAAAGTTTGAAAGCACAGAAAAGATACAAAGTTAAAGATTACGGAAGGTTTTATTTTTATTTCTTTATGTGTGGGTTTGGTTTTTTTTTTATTTTTATTTAATTTTTTTTTTTTTTTTGAGACAGGGTTTCTCTGTGTATCCTTGGCTGTCCTGGACTCGGTCTGTAGACCAGGCTGGCCTTGAACTCACCGAGATCCACCTGCCTCTGCCTCCTGAGTGCTGGGATCACAGGAGTGTGCCACCGCGCCTGGCACGGTTTTTAGTTTCTGTATTTGAGTTATTCCTTACATATTTCTTTGCTACCATAGGTTGGTGTTTGGTTGTGAGACCTGGTCTCACATAGGCCAGGCTGGCCAGAGAATGACCTTGACTTAATGTCTGATCTTCTTGCCTCTGCCTCCCAAGTTCTGGGGTTACAGGCATGTGCTATCACACCCAGTCTCTCACACTAAGTTTTTTGATCATACCTGATGAACAATTATTTTTTGCTTTTTCCACTTTGTAAGTCCTAGAAAAGAGGCTTTACACACAGCTATGAAGAGCATCTTAGTTACTGTGTAGATTGGTATGTATGTTAGATGTTTCACGAATGCCCACAGAGGAGCACAGGGAGCTACAGAGGTCCTCTGTGTGTTAAGTCCTCGCACGGAGGTGAGCCATTTTGTAGCCAGTCCTAGAGGCTTGCAGTGAGGTCCGGCTCTTCACTCCTATCTCAGCCTCCTCTACTCCCCACGTTTCTCTCACCTCATCTTACGCTGTCTGTCCTCCTGCCCTTCTTGAAGTGCAGACTTTATCCTCTAGCCTCATAAGAGGTTGTTCTCTGGGCTATTAGGACCACATTTCCTGTATTTGTTCTGCCCAGCTAGCTAGAAGGGACTGTTAAATTTTATACTAATTTAAGTGAATAGTGAAATTCAGTTTCTGTGTCAGTCACATTTTATTATTGAGAGTATTATCATGCTGATGACTGGTTTTCACAGCTCCCTCCCTCCCTTCCTCCCTTCCTCCTCCCTCCTTTGTGAGAAATGATTTCACTCTAACCCTGGCTCTCCTCACCCTCGCAGAGATCCACCTGCCTATACTACACCCAGTTTGGCATAGTATTCCTTTACTTTTTAAAATTGCAAGTAATTTTTTTTATACAATACATTATGATCATGGTTTTCCCTTGCTCATCTTCTCCTAGATCCTCCCCACCCTTCCAACTACATACCTTCTTTCTCTCTCTGTTCCGAAAACAAACAGGTAAATCAAAACAAACAAAAAAACCCCACAAACAAGAATAAAAAAAAAAAAAAAGAAAACTAACAAGAAAAAGAAGTAGAACACACACACCATAAAAACACAAAATTAGAAATGGTAAGCAAAATTGGAAATGTATAAGCAAAAGATAGATAAGGTAAGAAATGCTCAAAGTAATAGGAGACAAAAACCCCTCTGAAACATGTTGGAGTTGGTTTTGTGCTGGTCATCCAGTGTGGCTGGGCGTGGGCCTGCCCTTCGATGTGGGGTGTCCGCCCTGTGCGGTGCCCTTGGAGAAACTTAGTTTTTTCTTTGTGAATAGCTGTCCGTTGAGGATTGCTTCTTGGGTAGGAGTACAGGCTCATGTCTGCTTCCCCATCTCAGCACTGGGGTCCTGTCTGCTTTGGTCCTATATAGGCACTGTGTGTGCTGCCACAGTGTCTGTGAGTTCATATATAGCACAATATTCTTAACGGAGCATGATGCTAGCTAGTCTCTTTAGGTGACAAAATGGGCAGCCCTCTGCCCTCACAGTTGTGTTTTTAGGATCTTTAGAAATACTGTCGATGTTGAAGGCTCTTTGTCTTTGCGAGTGTAATGGTTAAGCTCCTTTATAATGCTTCTCTTTATAATTTGTACCTTGAAACAGTGTGATTTTGCTTCAAATGTATTTTTCTTTGTAACATCATCAATACAATCCAATTATAAAGGAGCTGCTGATGTCATCACTCTGCCTTTTTTTTTTTTTTTTTTTTTTTTCTGTAGCTATACCAAATGGTTTTGGAACCAGTCCACTAACTCCTTCTGCTAGGATATCAGCTCTAAACATCGTGGGGGATCTCTTGCGGAAAGTAGGGGTAAGCATTCAATTACTCATCATCATGTGTTTCCACTGCCGCAGTACTGGACTGTTTCCTTCCCGTGCTGAGAACCATAATGAAACTGAGAAACATTGAATCCCCTGATGAGCAGAGACTAGATTTGGGAAATGCCCAGCACTGGCTTAAGGTGTTTCTGGAAGGGCCTGGGTATTATCTCTGGGTGCTTTTCCTCTTCCCCATTGCTGTCCTGTCTGCAGTGCAGCTTCTCAAATCCTGTTCTTTGCCCCGGCTCTCATCCTTCTGGTTTTTCCTGGGATAGTATCTGGCTTGTGGCATTGCCGGCCACTGTTTGTTCTAGGGCTTACTGCTCTTGGCCACTTCAGCTTCAGTGACTCATTCTTGGCTCTAAGCTTGTTTCCAGTAACTTGACTTTTGAAATATGAAACTAGTTTTTTCTTTATTTTACATGTGTGAGTTGGATGCATGTCTGCACATGTGTGTGCCTGGTGTCTGCCAAGGTCAGAAGAGGGTGTTGGATTCCCTAGGGCTAGAATTAACAGATTTGGGCTGCTCTGTGGCTTCTGGGATTCAAACCTTGGTCCTTCCTCTGCAAGAACAAGTGCTCTTCACCTCTGAGGCAGCTCTTGTGAGGCAGCTCTTGTTTTGTTTTACAAAATGTTTCTAAAAATTGTGTCTATGTGTGTTCATGTATTTGCATGTGCGTGCATGCATGGGCCGGGAGCATGTGGAGGGCAGAACAGTTTTCAGGTCTACTTTCCACTTTTACTACATGGATCCCAGGGATCAAAATCAAACCCACTGAGTCATTTCACCGACCTGAAACCGAGTTTTTTGCTGATGGCTTTGAGTTTTCTGAGACAGCATCTTGTTAGGCTGAAATTCCTGAGTTCAGGTTATCTTCCTTCTTGGCCACCCACGTAGCTGAAACTACAGGGTGTACCCTCTGTACTCGGCCTTTCACTGTGTTTAGTGCCCAGATCTTATCAAGAGTAGTGCTGTTGGTTGGTCTTTATCAGCATCTTTTGCTTTTACTTGTTTCCTACTCCTTCAGGACTCTTAACATTCTTGTCACTGTCGATTTCACACTTGTCAGCTTTGTCACAAAGGAGAGCAGCAACCGGGAGTAGCCAAGCAAATGGAAACAGTATGGGACCTTGTGATTTTATTCTGCTGCTGTGTCGTCAGCATGTCTGGCATTAGTCATGTATTTCTGTCGGTGACTTCTTTTTAATAATCAACCCTTACAATATCTTACCACCTGCCACTCCTTCACTTAGTGTTCATGTGTGCGAGTGAAGGCACTCATGTGGAGGTCAGAGGACAGCCTGTGAGTTTATCTTTGCCTTCCCTCTTTACCCATCTTTGAGACAGGGTCTCCTGTAGCTCACTGCTCTGACCCGTGAGCGTGGAGTCTCTTCCTCCCATCTCTGGGACTCTGCTGGGGTGACAGACACTTGTGCTGGTGGATTTGGATGTGGGCTCCTGGGGTGAACTCAGGCCATAAGTTTTGTGTGGCCTGTGCTTAGCTCACTCCATCTCCATCTCTCCTCAGCTCCCTTCACTTAGATTGATGCAAGACTCTATGAAAAAAACAGAAATTGGACCATGCTCTCTAAAGAAGAAATGGGGCTGGGTGTGATACTGTGTACCTGTAATCACAACACGGCAGGAGGCTGAGGCAGGAGGATTAAGAGTTTGAGTCAAGCTTGGTCTACATAGTTAAGACCCTAACTCAAAGATGGAGTTGTGGGGGAAGATGTTCTAAGACATGGGTCCCGTGCTCCACTCTTAAAGTGGACTATTGTTCAGCTGTCACGTTAGCTCCCAGTCCTCATGCAACCCTACTATAAAAAATTGGCTTGGACACAGTGACCTCCTCACTCCTGGATAACCATGTGGGTTTATATACACGCGCGCGCGTGCGCACACACACACACACACACTCACTCACTCACACTCACTCACTCACTCTTATTTATCTATTTATTTATTTTAGTTTTTGGGGCGGTTTCTCTGTGTAGCCTTGGCTGTCCTGGAACTCCCTCTGTAGACAGGCTGTCTCTGCCTCCCAAGGGCTGGGATTAAGGGTGTGTGCCACCCCCACCCAGTGGTAACCATGTTTTAATGCTATTTGTTGTAAGAGTTGCAGTGTCCATTCCCATAGTTTAAAACAATGTGTTTATTTTTGCTTTAAGAAAAAAAGGAACTTAACCTGCTTCCTCTCAGTCCAATTTTAATACATATATTTATTTATTTACGGTGTTGTAGATGGAACCCAGGGCCTCAGGCGCAGTAAGCACACATTGTACCCCTGAGCCTCATTCCCAGCCCTAATTAACTTCGTGAAATCTTTTTCTGGATTTGTTAGGCTGCATCTCAGGTCACGCTTCTCTTCCTTCTCCCACCTGTGCCTTCTTGAGCTCTGTTGTAAATTGTAAATTGAAAGTTAGTCAAGTAGATGTCATTTCTCGTACAGCTGTAATAACGGACAGTATTTTTTTGTCTAATCATGAAGCCCAGGCCAGCCGTAACTGGAGATCGTTCCATCATGCTCAGCTTCCCTGTGCATTTTATATGTAATGTTTCTGTGTGCGCATGCACACACGTGGCACTAGTGCTGCTGGGCACCACGATTGGCTTTTGTCTTTAGAGTCTCTCCTTATTATTAATGACGCGTGTGCATACGTGTGAGCGAGTGTGGCCGCGCGTGAGGCCAGAGGGACCAGACCCGCCGGAGCCGGGCTTGCAGGCTGTAAGCCACCTGGGTGGGTTCTGGGGCCACCGAGCCAGCAGCTCTCGAACCCCAGGCTGTCTTTTTGTCTGTTTTTAAAACATGAGTTGTGTGCTGGCTTCGGCAGCACATATCCTAAAATTGGATCGATACAGAGAGGATTAGCATGGCCCCTGCGCAAGGGTGACACGCAAATTCGTGAAGCATTCCATATTTTTTTGTTGTGAAGTTAACATGCAAATGTTAAAGGAATCTGAATGTCATAGCCAGAAACCAGACTGCTAGTATGCCTTGAATGTGTCTACTAACAAGACAGTAAAGTCTTACCTTGCGCCTTAGTATCTGCTTTAGCAAAAAAAAAAAAAAAAAAAAAAAAACAAAAACATGAGTTCTAGGGATCAAGCTCAGCTTGCCAGGCTGCATGGCAGGCTCTTTGACCTGCTGAGGGAAATGCTACTACACCGCAGCATCTTGTTGGGCCCTAAGCTTGTTGATCATTGAGCTAGTACTCTGCCACTGAGCTGTACACTCTTAAGCCTTTCCCTCTCTCCCTTCATCTTCCCATTTTTCCCCTTTTTGTTGCGACATTGTCCACGGTGTACATAGTTCACACTGACATAGAACTCATTATAGCCCCGCTGGCCTTGAACTCTCCTGCTTCTTCTGTCTCTGCCTGCCTAGAGCTTGGGATCACTTAGCACACCTATCTTTTTTGTTTTAAAGACAGGGTTTTGTTGGCATACTTTTAAACTCAATTATATTTTAGTTTCTTATATGTCTTTCTCCCTTATCCACCCCAGTCCCTTCCAATACCTCAACACTGGATAGGAGAGAAGGAAGGTTAGTGGGGAAAGGGGCAAAGTTCTCTTTAGCTACTTTCTGCTGTTCAGGGTCGTTGGGTTCCTTCGGGCAAGTCCGATCTTTGTTTCAGGAGATCGCCAACTTCTTGTCAAACTGCATCAGCAGCAACCAGGAGCAGCAGGAGGAAGGACCAGCAGCCTTCATCTTTCTTCTCTGAGCCCCCTTTCTCTCTTTCTGGGCTCTGGCGTTTATTCCCTCTCCAGAGCCCTCAGATTTAAACTATCTGCAGGTGCCAAAGAGCCTCTCTCAGAGCTCACACAAGGCAAATAGTTTGCTGCTGTGGACAGTCTGGGTCAGTCCCACATCCTACACCTGGGATTAAAACAAAAACATGTTTACATATCATAAACCCAAACTACAACAGGGTCTCGCTGTGTAGCCCTGCTAGGTAGACCAGCTGACTTCCAACTTAGAGAACTCTGGCTGCTTCTGCCTCCAAAGTAGTGGGATTAATGGTGCACCCTGCCATGCTTGGCTTTTTAAATTTTACAGAGTAAAAACAAAGGCTGTTCTTTATATTCCATCTCTCTTTCACCATCACCTTTGATGGCATTTTGACAGCATGTGTGCTCTAGACATTCTGGTCTGGTCTCTCTTCCGTGATCAAGCCCCTAAAACTGCTTGGCGATATCACTGTGGTCAGAGCCAACTTGTGTGCTGCTCTGAATTTTACCTGAAGCACTCAACACCAGTGTACTTCCCCCAACTTGGAATGTCCTCTTTCTGGCATCCCCGAAGCTGTTTGTTGACTGTTCCCACCCCACTGCCCACTTCTGTCTGGCATCTCGTTGGGTCTTCATCTGTCCACGTTTTCAGTGATGGTCTTACTAATCCCAGTCATGGCCGCACCTACCTCTGGGTGTAGAGCGTGTGTAGATCTTAAAGCTTGTACCACCTGCGAGGATCACTGATGCTGAAACATAATTTTTGCCTGCCATGTGGCAGATGCTCAGCAGATACTTACATGCACGGAAAAGCCCCTTCTTTGAATATGGGAAATTAAAAGTTTCATGGTGGATGTATTTATGTAGAGAGTCAATGATGGGTGGTCCTCAGCATCCTAGAAGGTCACTGTTTCTGTCGTTCTTTAGCTCATGATAAGGAAGTATCAGCTTGGTTTTGGTACTGTTTCATATGTTTCTGTTGAAATGATGGGGTATGATGTCCAGTAGTGGGATTTTGAATGTGTATATTTCCTGTGGATGTCTGATCTTTTAATCTTGTGAATTGGAATGGAATATTTTTCTTTCACATGTATCTTTTTCCTTTTTGGGGGTCTAGTGGAAAGGTACTTGACTTGGGAGAAATTTTGTTGGGAAAGAGATTTTTATGATCTCCAGGTGTGGAGTGATTAGGAGTTCCTGTTCTTTTCACATCATCTATTTGCTGGTAGATCATGCACACGACAGGCGTAAAGGAAAGGTACTAGACTTAGAGGTAAATGGCAAAGGGCCAGTATCCTTTGCAGGTAAATTAATGATAGACAAAAGGTATCAGATGTACAGTGTATACTGCATTGTCACAAAGAAAATGGCTTCATTTTATGTGAGATTGGAAATGGATCTGTTCTGATGCAGTGGGAAGAACAGACTGAACAAAACTTTACAAAACAAAACGACTGAATAGACTTAACAAAACTTTACAAAAATAGACTTTACAAAACATGGACCGCATTCTCAAGGGATTATTCTTTGTAATACTTGCTACAGGAATGCACAAAGTCCCAGTCTCAACCAATACTGTATAACTTTACAAATAATGGATGGGTTCAAAGGCCTGGAGTCTTCTCTACCTATCGGCACCATAGTTTTCTTAGTTGTAAGGTGTGGCTTTTATTTGTCCTTCAGTGATACTGAGAGGAAAAAGTTAAATATTTGAGCTCATTAGAAAGGGGGTCAGTGAAGATGGTCTACCAGAAAGACAATTCATTATGGCTTAACTAATGGCTGTTACCCTGGAGGGTAAGGGTTGAAGCCTGAAAGAGAAATGGTTTAGATGCAGATGTTTTCTATTCAGCCACTGTTTTGACAGCCATTCCTTCTTTTTTTGTAGGCTTTAGAATCCAAGTTAGCAGCTTGCAGGAACTTTGCAAAAGACCAAGCATCCCGGAAATCCTATGTTCCAGGGAGCGTTAACTGTGGGGTAATGAACAGCAATGGCCCAGAGTGCCCAAGGTCAGGGCGTGCTACTTTCTTCCATAAAGGGTAAGTCTTTGACTTTTTTTTTTTTTTTTCCAGTTCTAGAGATAAAACCTAGTGCTTCATGTGTGCTAGACACTTACTCTACCACAGAGCTACAGCCCAGTCCTTGGACTGTTTTAAGTTTACAAGTCTTAGGTGAGGTTACCAAAATCTTGAAGGTTACACACACTGATGAGCTTCCCCGGCTCTATTTATTCAAGTCCCAGAGGATAGAGGTCTGTCACTGGCTTCTGGTTCCCACAGAGTTTGCTGCCCCTGGAACATACAGTGTCTGTTCTGGGGGTAGACTCTTAAAAGGCTACTGTGCTGGGCTCAGGAGAATCTTCATGGCTCCTGTGGGCCTGCTCTCCAGGTGCGTATAGCTTGGGAGACTCTCAGCAAATCTCCTTTAAGAGACAGGGGGAGCCCTGCAACTCTTGGTATGCAGGCTATATGCCAAGCCTATTTATTTTATTTGTAGTTTAGAAAACTACAAGTGTTTAGACACCGGGTCAAATACAAGTGAGAGTTCAAGGCTAGCCTAGTGTACATAGTCAGTTTCCAGCTAGCTAGAGCTACATAGTGAGACTTAAAAACAAAACAAAACAAAAAACAATGTGTGTGTGTATTAAAATTAAAATAAAAGCTTTTAAGCTTAAAGCATTGGTATATTAGTAAAAAAAAAAAATGGTTGGTATAGAAGTATGTAAGTAAGAAGTTCTACATTCATGCTATTTTGGTCATTCCTTAGAGTTAATTTTCAGGCATGTAAAATCAGATTTTTATGTATCCGCTCTTAAGTTCCTTGCAGTACAAGAGTGCAGTTTAAATATTGCTCAGTAACTTGCCTGTTTTGATTTACATTGCCAGTGTCCTTCCATGTCAGCATGTTTCATTCTGCCTTATTTTGTTTTCTCTCTAATATGCATAGCAGTCTTCTTGTTATAGACATGACTTAATGTAGGGAACTAGTTAGGACCTGTAATCTGTCTGCTGACCATGTTACCTTAGGTAGTTGTTGCTGAAACAGCAGCTGACGTACTTGTTCATGATTGCTTGCCGTTGTTTCTTGTGAGTGGAAAAGGCAGCTTTGAAGATAACAGCAAAATGAAGCAGGAACAGTTCTAGAAAAATTTAAAAGGTGCTTGTGTTTCTAATGCCTTCAGTTGTTAAAGCTTGTTTATGGAAGACCTAGGTTTTTTTTGTTTTTTTTTTTTAAGATTTATTTATTTATTACGTATACAGTGTTACGCTTGCATGTGTGCCTACAGGCCAGAAGAGGGCACCAGATCTCATTATAGATGGTTGTGAGCTACCATGTGGTTACTGGGAATTGAACTCAGAACCTCTGGAAGAACAACCAGTGCTCTTAACCTCTGAGCCATCTCTCCAGCCCACCTAGTTGTTTTATGCAGTCTACTGTTTTGTTGTTTTGAGGCAGTGTCTTATTATCTAGCCTTTGTTGTCCTAGAACTCTCTCTGTAGACCAGGCTGAACTAAGACTAGATCTGCCTTCCTCTGCTGGGTTTAAAGGCGTGAGCCACTGTGGCCAGCTACATAGAGTCTACTCTTGAAAAGAATTCTATTTTTCAACGCTGTAGTGGCGCATTCTGGTCTGTTGCTGTTTCCTACAACACTTCTGTCTTGAAAGGATACAGTGAGGACCTCCTATAAGACCACATTGTGAATATCAGTGTGTAAGTCAGAACTGTTTTAACTCTTAGGGTTCCTCAGGTGAGAGAAGTACTTTCATCGGGCTTGGGAATGCCCATTTTTGAGGTGTTTTGGAACATGGCGTTTAGAGGAAGTCTTCAAGAGTGTTGGAAACTCCAGTGGGGTAGTTGTTAGTCTCTGGAGTCATGTGTCTGGGTGGGCCCCATCTTACAGTGTGAGAGGAGGCATGAATTGCAGATGGATTGGGTAGGCAAGGCTTGGGTGGTCATAGGGAGGGAGGAATAAATTATCATTCAGGCTCACTGCTCTCCTCTACCCGCCCCCCTCCCCCCCCCCCCCCCCCCCCCCCCCCATCTCTTTTTGGATTTTGAAACGGGGCTCTCTGTGTAGCCCTGGATGACCTGGATTCCCTTTGTAGACAAGGCCGGCCTGGACCTCACAGAGATCTGCCTGCCTCTGCCTCCCAGAGTGCTGGGATTATAGGCGTGCACCACAGTGCCTGGCTCACTGCTCTTCTCTTGCATTTGCCTCTCATCCCAGAAGGCCAGACAGCCATTGCTCAGAAACGATGAACCTGCCCTTGCATGAGGAGCTGAGAGGATGCCCGGGGAGCTCTGCCTGAGCTCTTGCTCCAGGAGCAGCTGGGTGCTGGGTTGCCCTTATTCTCTGAACTGAGTAATGGAGACAGTGCTGCTTGTGTTTCTTCTTAAATTATGAAAGTTCTGTGTTGTACTGTTTCTGCCAACAGTGAAATGTACTTGTACAGATTGGCTCTTGAGAGTGTTTCTTGGTTTACATGTGGATGGTGGATGCACACTGCAGGGCCAGTCTCCTGTTGTTGCTTGAGGAGTGCTCATGCCTACTGTGCTCTGGAGGGTTTCCTCCGTGGGTTTGCTGTTACTGCTTCCTTGCTGCTTTGCTTTCATTCTGCCTTTCTTGTAGTCAGCCTGGCTTTTTACCTGTGGCATTTTTTAACCTATTGACTAGACAGAAACCAAGATGGTTTGTACCAGCTGTAAGAGGAAGGGGCAGACAGCCTGGTCCCCAGACACATTATTGACCCTGGCATGCTAAAGAACAGCCAGGCTTTGTGGAACCAGAGAACTGTGGCTTGGGACTTTGGCATGTGAAAAGCCCCATCTTAAAACCTTGGCGGTGTGCTGGCCTTGCTTGCCCTTTGCTCCTGAGGAGTGTCTATGGCTCCATTACTAGCTTACTAGTGACGAGACTGACAGGTGGGTTTTCTTGGGAGGTTGTGAGTGTTTATTTCATTGGCTTGCAGCCTTCATAGGCAGTGTAGCTTTGCTCCATGAAACTGCACACACCTGATCTGGCTCCGCGGCCTTATGTGAGTCACAAGTATTTTTGCAGATTATCTGACTATCTAAGGACCTCTTAGAACCAGGAGTTTATTCTCTGGGGCTTCTCCCAGTCCCTGCGATGCTGGCTGGTTGCCCGAGCTTCTCCCACTCTGTAGTCTAGCATCGAAGATACTCAGTTTGTGTGTTTCTTGAATTTGCTCTAAAACATTTTTTTCTTCCATGAGTTTAATCTGGCTTTATTTGTATTGCTTATGCATGGTGCAAATTGTGGGCAAACCAGTCATATTTTTCTGGGTCATATGTTGGTAGGTGTGGGCTGATTTCAGGGCACAATATGAAAATATGATGTGCTGTTTAATGATTTTTTTCCTTTTTTTTTTTTTTTATTAGGCAAGAAAAAGTCATATTTCCCACGTTGTTCATGGGTAACTCAATTTGTTTGCTGTGCTATCTTCTCTGCCTTAACCATGCTGTGTGCTGGAAGACCCATTAACAGACTGGTCTTTACTAACCGCATGGGGCTGACAGCTTTAACCAACTTTTAGCTCACGAGTGAGCTTTCCAGTTTCCGGTTTGACTTGCTTGCACCATTGCTGTTAGTGTGCAGGGAAACAGCCCACCAGGTGGAGGTGCCTGTGATCTCAGCTAGTTGGGGGCTGAGGTGGGAGGAGGTTTGAGCGCAGGACTTAAGGCCAGCTTGGCAATGAGCGAGACACCACTTGAACAAAATAAAACAAAACCTCAGTGCAGTGTCCTGGGTGGCTGAGCATCTGCCCAGTGGCATGCCCTGTTATACAACAGGGTGATGTTTGTGGTGAGGGGTGGAGAAGATGGAGGATCGCATCTCTTGGTCTTCATGGGGATGGGGCTCCTCTTGCCCTGCCGTTGCTTGTTTCCTCTCAGCAGCTGATGATAGCAAACCCCTTGCTCTGTGCTCGCTTTGTTTCCATATTAAACTGAGACGGTAAGGAGGAGTGTGTACAGTTTGCCTTCTCTTTTGTACTGTTGGCCTAGCCTGGCAGCTGGAGCTGCCTGGAGCTGCTCCGTGCTTCTCTTTGCACTCGGGCTTGGCGTCTGGCTGCCCGCCACCTCTCCTTCCTGCCCTCACGGTACACAGTACACGGTACCCAGAGGGCACACTCCTCTGCTTGCTCTGACAGACTGAGCTCTGCTTTTTGTCTTGTTGGGTGGCAGAGGCCCTTCCCAACTGGCCTCCAAGGTGAAGTTTCCGTTGCTAAAACACTTTCTGGAGTTGACCTCAGCTTTACCTTAGCTAGACTTGGCTATAAGTTCAGGGATTGCATGTCTGGAGCCTTCTTCACACTTGATTCTTAGGGCTGTCTCCATCCCTGCCTGTGCCCTTCATTTAATTTGGTGTGGCCCACTGGACATTTATTTCTCTACACCTGCACCTGGTATTCAAAGGCTTTTCTTCTCTTGGGAACCTTCTCCATTGAATAAGTTTAGTTTCCTGAAAGGGCCTCTCCAGACAACTCTTCTGGAGGTCAGCTCTCTTTTCTTCTGCTTTTAATCATTTGTGGGTCACAAGTGATTCAGAAGAGAAATGCTAGGTGAGGTCCTCTGTCCAACCACCCTCCAAGTTTTCCAGTCCACACAGAGATGTTACTGGCTTTCCACTGGAGCTCACGTGTACTGGGAACGTGGAAGTTTTGCTCATGGAGGCCTCCTGGGTGACCTGTGATTAGAGGAGGCTGGGAAGGACTGGGATAGCTGGAGGCAGTTCTCAACAACTCACTAACACGAAGTGGGTGAGCCTGGGCTAATGACTGCTTTGGTTTTCTCCGTAACAATGGAGACAAGTGCATTTCATTTAGCCCTGCACCTGTTCTGTGTGAGGGACAATCCTTGTGGCTGCTGCTTTTGCACACTGGGGACCAGATGACAAACTCCAGTGTGGCCCTGTGGGGCGAGCTGGGCTTTCTGTAGTGAAGCTTGCCTGCCCTTGCCGGGGACAGGGCGGAGATGTGTGTGTTGACGCCAGGCCTTCTGTAGTTCTTCCCCTGTGGTTGAGAGCGTCAGAGCTCTGGGTCTGCATAGGCAGGTGGCAGACAGGTGGGGTTGTGAGGTACGAAGTGACAAACACACTGGCCCTAGGCTCAGGAGAAGCCAGGCATGCAGCTTTTGGGAAAGAAGATCTAAAGACAGAACTCTGCTGTCTAGTGTAGAGGTAGAACAAGGCATGGGGCCAGGCCGGGGAGGGGAGGTGGCTGGAGTAGGGGGTAGCCTGCTTGTTGGGTTCTGTGTTTGGCTTGATGCAGATTCCAAGTATTGGCTGTGTTCAATCTCCTAAAACATGCTCGCTCTCTTTTTATTTTCTTTTTGGTTTTTTGAGACAGTATTTCTCTGTGTAGCCTTGTCTGTCCTGGACTTGCTTTGTAGACCAGGCTGGCCTTGAACTCACAGAGATCTGCTTGCCTCTGCCTCCCTGAGTGCTGGTATTACAGGGGCGCGCCACTGCACCTGGTTATAACATGAACCCTTGTTTCCTGGAAGTCCTGGGGTTCTTTGTCAAGTCCTTTGCATGTGTGCTTCTGTGTGCCACTAGTGACTGCTTATGAACCAGTGTCTTTGCAGAATGTCTCCTTGTGAGTCTGGTTTCAGCTCCTTGGATCCTTCCATAAGCAAGTGGGTAACGGTGTGCAAGAGTCACGGATTGTGGCCCTAAGCATCACCGATAGGATGGATTCTCCCAGCAGGCGTCTTAGGGTAGAGGCTGAGTGGCCTCCTGAGAGAGCTTGTGCTCTCCCTCTCCTTTCTTCTTCCCCCTGCTGCCTGTGGCTGCATGCTGGAGTGTGGGTTGGGGGTGCCCTCTGCCTTGCTGGGTGTGCCTGGATGCTGGCGCTTGTGAGGAGCTGGGTTGCTCTGTGTAAGTGCAGAAAAACAAGTTTTCCATCTGGCTTTAATTGCTAGTCATTTTTTTTTCCTTTTTTCTTTTCTTTTTCTTTTTCTTTTTTTTTTTTTTTTTTACCTTGAGATACTGGCATTGCAATTGATTTATAAAATGAACTAGTAGAATACATTTTGTTAAAACTTTCTCCTGTACTATAGATGATTTCATTATATATGTATATATAAACCACACATTGTATATTTACATATGTTTATGTGGCTGTATTTATTCTACACTTAACTACATCACAGTGTCTATAATATAAAAGAGGCTGGAATAGAATAGAATCTAGGCTATATACTGCTTGCATTTTCTTTATTTTTTTCTAATTCATTTTTTTAGGTAGCCTCCCTCATTTTCCTTATATTATTAAATAATTCTGAATATTCTCTGCTGTTAAAATACTGTAGAATACATTCTTAATAGTTGTACTTATAGTTAATTGTTTTGTTGTATAATTATTTAATGAACTCTCTATTGCCAGACATTTAGACCTTCTAATGGTTTAAAGAAAAAGTCAGAATTGTGGTTACAGTGGCCCATATGACAAAGGGGTAGATGGTGTCAGTACTCAAGGGCTGTGAACTGCCCTTTCTCTTATCACAGTGCCTTCTGGACAGTCACTCAGCAGAGATTTGAGCAGTTGGGGTCCTGCTGTAGGCTGGGAGGAGGACTAGTTACAGAGGGCTTCCTATGTGAAGAGTGATTTTTAAATGAGCCTCTTTTTCTTCTCTTCCTCCCTTGCTCTTCTGGTCACCCTACAGGGCAGTAAACGGCTTTGATCCGGCTCCTCCTCCTCCTGGGCTGGGCTCCTCACGCCCATCGTCAGCACCGGGTATGCTGCCTCTCAGTGTGTGAGTGTCCGGCCTCCAGGGGGGGCCCCCTGCCCTCTTCCAGCAGCCCACGACACCTACGCCTTGTCCCTCAGTGCCTGGGTCCAGCCCTGTGCCCCTGTCTGCCTTTCCACCGCTGGCAGAGGGCAGGCTGCATGCCGTGGCGGCTGCTGGGCTCCGCCCCGCCCCAGGACTCTGCGCGATATCAATACTGGCTATTTTCTCTTCTCGCCGTAGTGCCGTTGGTTTCACATGATTGCACTTTTTGTGGGTCACAAGTGATACATATGTGTATCGCTCGATCACTGGATGTGGAAGTACCCGTTCATCACACCTGCCTCCAAGCCCCATTTGCTGTGTGATAGGATTTAGTTGTTTAACCATTGCAGGTCTTCTAGAAGTTTCCCCTCAATCAGGTTGACAAGGCTTACTCCTGCCGGGCATCTTCAGTGCTCACAATCATGTGTCCCCCAACCTTACCCTGCAGTTCAGGCCTGTTTCTGGCAGAGTCTCTGAGTTAGGGAACATTGTCTGTACCTTCTGACTTTATGTATGCAGTCTATTTCGTTGCTTGCTTTTCAGAGCATTGAGATGTGTGTCTAAGCTGCAGGAGGCACGGGCAGCTGGGCCCTGGGCAGTCCAGGCCCAGCTTCTGTCAAGGTTGCCCTCTCCTCTGTGTGCCTCAGACTCAGAGGATGCAGGCGGCAACTTTCCTGCCAGCTCAGTCACTGAACATCTCAGAGCGTTTTTGGTTTCTCCTCTGAAGGTCCGTCTAGATGCATCGGGAAGGGTTGAGGGGCCTGATTCTGGGGTTGGCTGGTGCCAGCTCGTGGGGGGCAGACTGGCCAGAGGGGTTTGTCCCTTGCACCCTTGATTATTCTCATGCTGCACTTACTGTTTACATTTGTTTTACTGTACATAGGTTTGTAAACATTATTGCCTAAGATATTTGTACATAACTTGGGCGTTGTAGCTTTTATTTATTCACTCATATGGCATGTTAATGACTTATGATGGTGTCCTACTCTGGGCAGCTGTATAGGATCATCATGTGGTTTAAAGAAGATACTTCCCTCCAAAAAAATCTTTTAATGTGGAAACAATAAATTTCACAGAAAAAAAAAAGGGTCAAGATTGCTTTATTTGGTTCCTGCCATCCCGTGAGAGAAGACATTTGAAAGGCAGTTCAGTGTCTCTTCTCCTACATGGGATGTGATGGAGAACAGGTGTAAAATAAGACAGTTGAGGCCTCAGGAGAGGCTTTATTCACACACACTGCTAGCCTTGTACCATCTCCAGGAGCAGCCTGAGGATGGCCCAGCCCCCATGGGATGGTAGAGAAAAACCAGGCACGAAGCACTGTATGGGCCCAGGAACTGGCCTCCTAGTTGCACTGCATACAGCGAGAGCTGAAGGTGCTGGGATGAGGGGAATTCCGTGGGCATGGGCTTCTCCTCATCTTTCTTTCACTGATGTTGCAAGTGAGACAAGTTCCAGGTGCGTGGCAGAAAGTTCCAGGTGCCACGTTGAGAGCATAAATGTGACGTGTGCTTGACCTTGCCTGCGGCAGCAGCACAAACAACAGTGCATCTCATAGCTTAAAGCAAGTGTGCGGACTGTGGTGCGAGAGGCAGGTGAGTCTCTGAGTTCAAGGTCGAGGCTTCCCTGTTCCAGGACAGCCAGAGACCCCATCTCCACCCCCCCTCCCCAGATGAAACCATAAAACAACCAAACCACGTGAGTGAGAGTTAAGGGAGGCAGGCTACTAAGTGACTAGGAAGCAGTAAGTAAGGTAAGGTTCAAACTTTCTGTTAACAGAAGACGGCATCTGTTGTTTGTTCTTGGAGCGTTCGCCCTAAGCTGACTTCACCGAGAGGCCCCTGCAGCCACCTGACCGCTGCAAGGCAGTCTTAACTGTCTCACTGAATGCTGGCATTCTGTGCTGAACGGCCCCTGGAAGGATGGATTAGGTCAGAGGTTTGAGCAGTGAGCGGACCGCTGTTTATGTGGCAGCCTGACCTAACAGATGAGGAGCAGCCTCCTGTGGTGCAGGCAGGCTTGAGCCAGAGTCCCCTCTGGCTCCCTGGGCTTACCTAGACCGCTCTTCAGTTGCTGTTCTCATCATTGGGGGGGGGGGGGGGGGGGGGGGGCTAGGTAGGGATGCTGCTGCTGCTTTAGGTCCAGGTCCAGCAAAGCAAGCAATGGGTGTTAGCCTTCCGGGCTCTTGGTGGGATGGTGTCTGTTTGGTGGGTTTTTATTTTTAACCTGTAGCAGCCTTCTCCACATGACCTTGTGTAGACACTGGTCTGTGAGGCCTTTTCTTTAGCACTCCATGAGCTGGATGGTTCAGGATACTTTGTGCTTGCTGATCTAAGTCTTTAAAAGTTGCCTGAGTGTCTGCTGTCCTGGAGGGTGCCTGTGGCCAGGCTGTTGTTGAATCCTCAGGGCTGAGAAATGGCTGAGCTGGGTCTGTGGATCATTCTCTTGGAAGACCTGATCTTGGTGTGCCGCGCCCCACCCCCCCCATGTCTTTCTGACAGGGTCCCATTTCTGAAGACAGGGTCCCGTTTCTTCTTGGCTCAGAATAACTGGAAACTGCTGGCTCAGTCAGCTGAGGGGCTGAAACCTAATGTGAGGCAGGCCCTTCGGGCATAGACTCTCCCGGCGTGCAGAAGGCGTGGCTCAGGGCAAGGCCAGGCGTGGAAAGAGGCCATTACCTTTTTCTGCCATGCTCTCTTCCCACAGTGGAGGTCTAGCAACTTGCTGTGTTTGTGGACCTGGGCTGTTGCTGCTTCCTCTGCCTCCTGGGCTCTGAGCTTTATAGATGTGATTCCCCGTGCCTGGCTTAAGGAGGCAGATGGAACAAGGCAGATCTGGTAGCGCCTGTGCTGGGGACCCGATGGGATTTGTTCTGTTTCATGATTCTTTGTCCCATCTGCACCCACAGGAATTCTGCTAGCGTTTCCTGTCAGCTCTTTAGGAAGCCTTCCCTGAGGCAGACGTGACCCAGAGGAATGAAGTTTAAACTTTTCACTGGCCGAGCAGTGTCACGCCCCGCTGCCTTCTCCACTAAGATGCAGTACGTAGATCCTGCCGGGACTGTGGTCATGGGTGGATGCCCGGCAGGAGGGCGGGGCTCATTTGTGCTGGGCTGCCAGTGTGGGCTGAGTAAAGACAACCTTTGAGTGACACACCTGAGTGTGAGGCTTAGTGGCCAAGCCTGCTGCACTGAAGGCCGGAGATGGGAAACATTTATCTTGATAAGTTTTAGCTAGGAAAAAGATTGATCCCACTGTGTAGGGAAGAGATATTTTATTATATTATTCTCCATGTCTTAATCTTGCCTAATAGTGGGATAGCCGTATCACTTCTGGGATAATACCTGCTGATGTCAAGAATATGATAAACTTCAATAAAGTACAATAAATGTCATTGTCTGGTGGCAGGGGATGGCCGGGAAGCACAGCGCAGCCATGCAGTGCCGAGGCAGTTGGCGGGAGGGAAGCGCACAGCAGCCACACAAGTGCACCTTCAGTTAGAGACAGTCTAGTCGTGTGTGTGGGTGGCTTACTCTCTGCATTTTAAAATCGCCCCAGACGTGCCCAAGAAAAACCGGACAAAAGCATCAACACCAGTTTTCTTTTACTATGCAACTTGGCCTGCGAGCCGTGCTAAGAGGTAGACTGTGTGGCTGCTCTGACCTGCCCAGATGGCCACCCCAGGGAGTATTAAAAGAGCTGCCCAGGTGTCCCCTGGAACCTGAGACCCCATCAGGTACTAGATGCCCCTTTGTTTTCTGAGCCACTGAGAAGTGTGACAGAACAATGGAGATTCTTACCCTGAGACCTTTATGAAGATTCCGTTACTTTGGGTGTTTTGCCTGCATGTATGTATGTATGTGCACCATGTCCATGCCTGCTGCCCTAGGTGGAGTTAAGTTAGATGGTTGTGAACCACCATGTGTGCTGGGAATCGAACTTGGGTCTTCTGGAAGAGCGGCAGTGTTCTTAACCACTGAGCTGTCTTCTCCAGTCCTGACTTAGACTTTTTAATATTACCAAAAGTTTTGAATCTCGAGACAGATCTATGTTGTTGAGACAGGTTCTCAGTTGGTCCATAGCCCTGGCTTCCCTGGTGGGTGTGGCCCACCACACGTTACATTTCTAACCCTGTCACAGTTCATGTACCATGAGAAGCAGGAGAGAGTTCTAGAAGGTGACCGAGCCTGCCTTGTGAACCATTCTTTTGACCCATTCTTTTGGCCCTTGTCTGTTTTCCCACGCAGTCAGCATCCTGTGTTGTGGTGTTGGTGATGGGTCTTTTTTCCCAAAAAGCACAGTCCATTGTCACTTCCAGAATTTTCTAAGTGGCTGACAGTCGTTCTGCAAATTTTGATGCTGAGTCTTGTTACCACGAGCCAGGCAGTGACAGCCATATGCCCAGTGCCACCTCCTGACAGTGACTGATGCATGAGAGTTGCGGGCATTTTAGATCTCTGCCAGCTATGTCATCTCAGTCAGTTGGAATGGAGCTCACGGATTGGCCTACTTTGAAAACAAATGAAGACCACGCTGCTGTAGTGAGTAAAACTGAGTTTCCAGCCACATAGGGCTTGAACTCACTTCTTGGCATAGCACACAGGCAATGTAAGATCATAGACAGCTGGCATCAAGACCAGCCCCGGGAACATAGCTCCATGTCACATTCCTGACAGTCACCAGACAGCCTGGTCCTGAGCTGATTGGAGACACCCTTTCGGTGGAGACTGTTCTTAGTGTCTCAGGAAGGTGGGGAAGCAGAGAGGCCAAGGCAGCCCAAGGGGTGCTTCCTCATGGTGGCCACAGGCTTTCTTCTCAGACCTGCTGGGCTTCTCCCTTCCTGTGTCCAGTATGCAGCCATTCTCATTTGTGTGTGGGGGAGGTGGGCAAGCCTGGGGCAGGAAGGCTTGCTCTGTCCCTCAGTAGCATTGGCTTTGGGGTAACAGGTGGTGTGGGCCATTCACACTAGAGCAATAGGGCTGTTGGCTAGGATGTCTTCGTTAGGTTCCAGCCCTGGAGGAAACTGATGAGACACCGAGAGAGGCCCTGAGCCTTCCTGGTGCCGTCAGGCAAGCAAGCAGCTAGGGATGAGTTCAGTGCTGCACTTCAGTGTGCACAACCACGCCTAGTCCAGTAGAGTGTGTTCAAACTAGAGATCAGTGGCTCCTTCTACTTGGCATTTGTGTGGAGTCGGGAACTAGACTAGGTCCACAGCCTGTCTTTCCTGAAGGCCGAGTTGTTAAGAAGCCGACAAACAGGCCAGACAGGAGAGAGGAACCCTTCCTGAGACAAACAGGAAGGTCAGGACTGACTGACAGAGAGCTGCAAAAGACAACTGTGCGTGGGACGCTGCAGCGCCACCCCCATTGCTCTCCTGTGGTGGGACGGGACGGGTCTCCTGCGTCCTTGTGTTACCTGCATGGGGTGCGAGCCTGGGCTCACACCGTGCGCTTGACACTGCTCTCCTGCTTCCCCGGGGCCACACCAGCAGGGCTGCCTGTGGGGAGTCTGAGGCTGTTCCCTCCATATCCTGTTCCAGACATGCCGTTCCCCAGCGTTGGGGGGCCTCGCAAATGCTCTCACCCGAACACTCCTCCACGGCTCCCTGCCTCAGGCGGCCGAACCCTGAAGCAGCTAGCTGTCTGCTCGTTTCTGGGAGGCCCCACCCCAGTGGGTCCGCATCAGGGTTCAGGTGTGTGTAACGCCCTCCAGTCAGGTCACAGAAGAGAGCCCAAGAACAGAAGGTGAGGAAACACAGTCCATGGTCACATGATTATTCTTGTTTATTGAGGTCTGTTTGTTCTCAACGGGTGCTTTTGCCTCCAAGTAAACAGAGCAGGCGCAGATATCTATAATGAATAAATTTATTGTCTTACAAAAATCATTGTCTAGAAATATGGGAGTACAAGAAAAGATATTTGCAGTCAGGTGTCTGGTGGTCAGCAGCCAGCACAGTTCATACACGGGAGATCAGGTTCCGAACCCACGTGACCAGCTCTTCCTAACAGGTGGTAAAGCTCAAACCCAAAAGGTCCGTGTTTTCAAGCACATTGCCAAGGGTCGGGATTTGTCGTTAACACTGATTTGCTGTCACTGAATGTTTGTTTACTACTTCACTAGAGAGGTACATGATATGAAGCACAGTCAAACTTAATACATTAAGTTGTTATAGAGGCAAATAATGTATTCAACATTGTCTTAGTACTGTAGTGTCTAAGGCACTTTCTGTAATATCAACCAAAAACAATGCTAAGTGTTCATTGTAACACTGTCCAAAGGGAGGGAGAAGGAAAAATGAAGGATCACACACCCACTGGCATGTCAACATTCAGGCAGATGACATCTGTTCTCGAGGTCTACAGCCTCACTGACAAGCTTGGAACACACCTCCGACACACAACTAATATTCCCATTTTGGGCTCAAAGCAGTGGCTGCATTTGCAAGGTCAGCAGGCGGGTCTGGCTGGTTGGTGAGGCCTTCTGCCCCAGCGGCTCACTCCTGAACTGAGGGCGCCAGCAAGCCAGACACTCAGGACACCGCCTGGAAGTCACTGTGATGGCTGCCACCCGGGCACCTTAGGTGTGGTAGCCATTTATTGTCTTTGTGCAGATAGCGCTGGGACTGTTCACTTGAGATGGTGGTGACACCGTAAGTTTGAGGGGCAGGGTAGCTCCAAATGGCTGCTACTCCCCCAAGCCAAACCCACCCCTCCTAAGCCGCCAAAGCCCCTCTCACAGTTTGCTCACTATTCAAAGGGAATGAGAGACACACGCACAGGTGAGGTTCACAATTTTCTACGAGACTGGGTGTGGTTGAAGGGGTAGGGCCACGTGAACACAGAACCAAGGAACCCGTCAGTACAGAGCATGCAGAGCAACTGAGAATGGGGCAGGCCCAGCGCCAGGACTGGCAACAAAGGGTTCTTTCCTCTTACTGTGTCATAAAATGGTCTCTCGGTGAGTATGGGAAATAGAGGCAACGATGGGTCGGTCTGGTTACGCATGTCTGTGGAGGGGTGTGTCTGTAAAAAGGGGCAATTGTACCTAGTCTGCAGCAGGGCACGGTGTGTAGGCTGCAAAGCCTTCCGACACAGTTGATGTTCCTGTAGGGATCCCGGAGCTTGCCACTCCCGAGTGCAGGGCTCAAGCAGACTAGTGCTGGGCTGGGTTCCGGCCTGTGTCACCTCTGACTTCCGTGTCTACTCTGACTGGGGCGGTTGCGTCTCGTTGATGTCACTGGTCTTACTTTCTGTGTCATCGTCTGAGAGCTCCAGGGATGCCCCCTCAATGTGGAGCTGGCGCCGGCCAGATCGGCTCGAGGAGAAGCTGATTGGGCCGCCCCGCCTGGGAGAGAGATGCACAACAGCATGAGGCAGACAGTGCTCACTCTCCAGCCTACTGCTGGGGCATCTCGGCCTTGGTGGGCGGCTCTTCTACCCCGTCCTCCCCTACCACAGTGCCCGTGGGCACAGCGGACATGGACATGGGAAGGCAGCCAGGGTCCGGTGAAGACCCACCTCCCAAACAGCCTTCCCTGAAGGGGGCCAGCAGAGCTTATGCTCTTTCCAGACAAGCCATGTTCGGCCCTTTAAAAACAGAGGCTCGGTTTCCTGGCTCTACACACTCAGGGCGCTGGCAGCCTGTGCCCACACAGACAGACCTTGCACTCTGGCCTGCAGAGGAGCAGGTGAGCTGGAGTGTCCGGGCCTACCGGGGAGCAGCTGCCCTGCATGAGTGGAGGCCGTGTGCAGCTGGACGTGGATCGGCACGGGGCCTTGCCAGACTGCCGATTTGTGTGTGCCTGCCCTTCCTGCTTTCTCCCACTCGTTATTACAAACACCAGTGCATTCCACAGCTGGGGCCTGCCATCCTCAGCTCCATGTCCTCATCAAGCACTTACCTAAGCCGGTTCTTAAGTGTGCTGACCTCTCGGCTCAGGCCCTCATTGGCCTCGGTAGCATCGTCCAGTTCCCTTTGGAGTTTACGCCGAGAAGCGTTGGCACGTGTAGCCTCCTCTTCCGCCTCTTCCAGCTGGCGTTTAAGCTGCTTCATCCTGGCATTGGCCTTCTCCATCTTGGGAGTTACATGAACGAGAGGCGAACATTGAAGCCGGGGTTAGTCTCTGTGCTGGAGGGTCACATGGCCAGATGCTCTCTTGTAAGCATGCACGCACATGTTTCAGGGTGGCGCTAAGGCTCTCCCCCTCCCCCCACTCAGCAAAGCCAGTATTTACAGGGCAAGCTGCACATCAGCACCTTAAAACTGCCTTACCCAGAGTGTCTGTCGAAAAAACTGACCTAGGGACTGGGGCTGCACAGGACAACAGCCTGGACCAACACTGTCCAGAGCTTTCAAGCCCGTGAGTGCCCACAGCTGCTCTGGGAGGGTGCAGTA